ATCAGTGTTTTTACCCGCGACCAGTGTAGGGTTATAAGAACAAATTCGTCGAATTGTGATTATTCCGACTTCGTCGAAGGCAACGTTTCATACATCGCATTATCGACGACTTCTGTTTTTAACGGCTGTATATTTTTCAGAACATCTTTTGTATTGTTTTTATAATCCCGTTACTTTAATCTTGGTATTCAAAGATAACGCATGAAACGATTACATTTTGCAGTAATATAACCAAAAAACTAAATCAGGGTTATTAGCAAATCATCAACAGCGGAAAACTTCCAGCCCCTAATAAGGTTAAAAACCTGCGAACCACTCCACCCAAATGGGCTTTTTTGCAAGAATTATCATCAAATGATTTATTCAGTGACACGCTTGTTCGTTCGCCGTCGATACGAGGCGAGACTCGATCGAAGGGAGGGATTGGCGCTAAGACTTGGTTATTGACAGTCAATACGGCAATGCCGGTCTGGTGATACCGTAAAGTTCATTCCGCGTGGCCTTTGCATTAATGTTTGTGGGGCTCTGTCTAGAATCGGTGCATTGTCGGAATAAATTTGATGCTCTAGGACAATCTTTGAGTTATATTTTGTAATTAAATAATTTGTTACGTTTAAGGTAGTTTGTTCAAATCAACTCTTCTCGATTCGAAACCCCTTTGTCCATAGTTGAAGAAATATAACTCAGTATTCACTGCAGTGAGTGACAGAGAGCGCATTTTCTCGGCGACGAAAACTTGAGGTCACGGACGGACGGACACACGGACAGACAGACAGACGGACATGGCGAGCACAATAGTGCATTTTTTCCCATAAATGAGAAAATGCGCTAAAAAGCGAACTCAACACACCCAATCCCACACATTATTAGTATGGATCCATAATTGAAAATAAATGTATTAGCACCCGTTCTAGTAGAGAGTATCGGACAAGGCCACATATTTTTTGCTATAGTGAGCATAATTCAGCACATATCAAGCTCCTAGGAATAAACTACGAATTATGATGTAAATTAGACGCCTATAGAGTTATTCAATTTTTAATACAACACTATTTTGTAAAAAGTGTCAAAATGGGCCTGTTGCCCCACCCCTGGGGCAATGGGCCCATGGGCTTGGGGCAAGGCGCCCACCCTTGGTTCTTTTACCACAATTGCATATTTTTCGTTTAAAAATGATAAAACAACACTTTACAGTTAAAAATAATAAAATGTAATAAAAAATATGGCATTCATTCATTCATTAACAGCTCAAAATACAGGTGTGCAAAGAAGAATGGTATAAAATACCAGTCAGCATCTGCAAATCATTGGTCGAGACGTATAGAAATAGACTGGTATCTGTTGAGCTGAATAAAGGGTATTCAACCAAGTATTAAATTAAAATAATGCGGATTTATTGTTTTGTACGAATACTTTTTTCACCCGAAAAGTGAACATGTTGCATTGTTTTTTGTTGCATTGAGATTTAATTTCTTTTGATAGTATTTTTGAATACTATGCGTCTCTATACATAATTTAAATCACTTTTCCTGTTAAGTTTGTGTACTTACATACATTAAAATGCGATTTTTCAAGTGTACGAATATTTATTTCCCCCCACTGTATATTATAGTGACACTAATATTGACACTATTTTTTCAAGCAGTATTTTCACTGAAGGAAACTAATTGCCCTTGCACATTGGTCCAGTAGTCGCGTGGTTACTACAACTCACAATAACTAAGCGTCTTCATTTGACGTGCTTCCGGCCTAGGAAGGAGTTCATTCCCATCCGCGTTAGGCTTATAACATGATAATTAGTAGCGGTTATTTTTTTTTAGTTTCAGACTCCACTAGTGACTTCGTGTACAAGGATCATCCAACACCTCCTTTTGACGTTCAGCATTCGCCATTAGCTGGACATCTAAAAATGTTGTTTAATGGCCCAAATTTTTTCGTAAACTATTTCGATGTACTCTGTAACAGTACTATTAGGTTTGGACAGCTAAACTAAAGAGCATTATTTAATGCCTNTACGTGAGCATTGCGTCATCTGGGGCCGTGTTCGAGGTGGCCAGGGTCTGCCGGTCTACTCTGCGACCCGGAGGTGTGATCCTGCACAGAACCTTGACGTAATTTCAACTAGAGTTCAACTGCACATCAGTTACATTTTCAACTGGAGTCCAGCTATATATGGGCCCTAATTATGATCTCAACTAGAGTCTAGCTATAAGCCACAGTTGCCAACTCAACTAAAGTCCAGCTGAAAATGGCCCAAGTTACCGTGCAAAGTTATGTCCAAGCCCAATATCAGACTCTAGTAATCACGGCAATTATTGACCACAGTTGCTGTCTCAGCTTTAATCTAGCTATTGGAGGCATTAACCAGTGTTCAGTGAGTCATGTTCGATGACTTGCATCACCTGCGGGTTTATAGCCTAATTTTCTGGAAATAGATCTCCCATCAAAGTAAATTTCGACAAATATGGCATTTTGTCAACTATAAATACTGATACATGCAGTATTTAGAAATTTCAACCGTCTGTCCGTAACTTCACGTTTTCGTCGACGAGAAAATGCGCTCTTGTGAATCACTACAGTGAGCACTGAGTTATTTTTTTATCTGTTTATTCAAGCCATTTCATTACTTAGTATTTATGTCTATTAAAGCATTGAAGGTGAATTTCCCGTGTGGAATAAATTTTTTATTGGTGAGAAGTTGTGAAAAAACAATCGAATTAACCCAAGTGCTTGAACTTTCAAGAATTAAGATTGTTAAGCATCAAGAGGCTATCTGGCATCAAGTGGTATGTAGAGTATTAAATGTTATCGGAAGCAATGCAATTAATGACCCTTAATGCAATGCTTTGCCGCAAAAACGTTTACACTTAATTAAAGCTTTGCTGCAGAACCTTAAGTTTTTACTCACCGTGCGAATAAACCTCAGTTTTTTCCACATCGTATAAATCAAACTTGAGTTTCCACTAATTGAGTAGCGGTATCAGCGTTAAAGATTAGGCCATTTGGACTGTCCACGAATCTGACTATCGAAGAATTTATGGCAGCTATGGGTATCGTACCCTTATCTCACCGCTCCAAATTTGGAGCTCTGAACTTTAACCACTCGACCACCCTGCCGTCTTCAGATTCTTTACTTTAAGCCAACAATCTTTATATATATAACGGTGCGACATGAAATGTTGCTGCAGTTGCAATGCGGCACGGCGTGTGGAGTGCCTGGAGCGGCTGGAGCGAGTGTGTACCGCCATGCGGATCCGGTCAGCGCATCCGCTACCGATACTGCGACTCCCCGCCCCCTCTCAACAAGGGGGCGTACTGCCAGGTGACCACGTAGGCATCTTAATGATGGGCAGGATCCTTATGCATATGATATTTTCATTATAAAACAATTGCGAAACGTATTGTTTGATTATATATGTGGTTTATGTGATTCTTATCACCATAAGAGTGGCTTTTGCCGCACAAAAGACAATATTTAAGAGTCAGTTTCGTGATTTGCCCGATATTTAACCCACTACTTCCGCATGTCACCGTTCGGGAACATAACTTTTAACTTAAATTATACGTAAACTATTGAGTGTAGGCTGTGTAGCAACCTGAGGACGTTTGTACGCAACAGAGAACATTTTTAAAGTTGTTTTAGGTGGCGGCAGTCATCAGTGAAAGTTATTTGGCTCTCACTAGCAACGTATCCTTTTTGGGAAGTAGGCTTGTGACAATATTGCTCCGGTTACTCGGTTGAGGCGGTAGAGGGTTAAGGTCTAATGAATTAAGGTCTATACTAATGTTCCTTTATGTAACTTTCTAATAGATTTTACAGAATTGCCTGAGCATTACATATCCTTCATATAGTGTTTAATGCGGTTGAAATCCAGCTGTAATTTACGCATCTCATCTAAAACGACTGTACATACCTCTGACGAATTTCATGTCACTATCTCAGTTGAAGACTGCAATTCAATTATTCTCAAAGTTTCTTCATATTATCCTGCTAATTTCTTTTAATTTTAACTAAACTATTAACAACGGAATTATTTTTGAATCCCATCACACTATATTCCCGCTTCAGGGCAACGCTACGGCTGTCACGACATGCACTAACCCCGCGTGTGACCTGCCTGCTGTCACGTCTACATCGTCACCCAGTCTCCCCCTGGACCCCAGACTGCGCTCCTGCAACTGCGGGTGTCGACTCAACGTCACCAGCGGCCACTCACTGCTGCTGGATCTTGACACGAGCTCCTGTCGCGGCAACGTCTCGTGGCTCATCAAGGTAACAAAATTATACACGATGCTTTGCATTTACTTATTTGATTGCCTGGCAAATTATTTTTATGTAATAATCTTAGAAAAATTAATATATTCTATATTAATTTATCATCATTTCCATCATATGAATTATTAGCCAATAAAAATCAGCTTTTAACTTGAAATTAATTTTTGGGGCTAAGTTTATGATCGCTCAACAGTCTGCCTGAATTTCCATGCCAGACTTCGCCACGTTTTCGATGCATTCACTGTAGCCGAAGAACTTGAGCATCCTCAATCACCATTTTATTTAAATACTATAGAATAAAATTACGATGTTTTAAAATAAAGTTTCGAATGTGTAAAATGTTATAATTTTTCTCAATTCTTGGCAGTCACCGGACGGCGAGAGCGTGATGGCAGCGCTGAGCAGAGCGTCGCTTCTGGCTGGCGGTCAGTGGGTGAAAGTGCGGGACGGGAATCGGTCTACTTCACCGCTGCTCCTCACACTTCCCACTCTACCTCGCCACACACCAGGGATCTTCTTAACTACACATATGCTCATGGCGACAACTCTTACTGGGATCCAAGAAGAAAAACGATGGAATAAATTTAACAGCGAGAAAAACACGTTTGATCCTTGGTGGCTTATCAGATCTTCCTCTGAATGGCTGAGGCTCGAAGTGCATACCCTAACTAACGTGAGCAACGAAACTATCATCCCTCATCTTGGCTTCACCCTGCTAGCGCGGCCTGCCGGTGAGTCGGAAATAACCCTGCATGCGATTTGATACAGATTTGTGAACGTTCTTTCTGTTTTGTTGCCGGGTACACCTTGTTATTGGTGATACGCATATATTGAAATACATGTATTGATATACGCATGTATATCAATATTGATATTGATATACGCATGTATTGATATACATGCGTATCATGTTATGTTATGTTATGTTATGTTATTGATATACGCATGTATTGATATACATGCGTATATCATTGATCTCGGTTAATGCACGCGTAGGTTTGAAGAAACAAACCACATGTGGCAGTGTTAAAATTGATGATGTGTTTAAATTGATAGTATTTTGTAAATCTTAAGCCTAATTAACCACTTAAACTTTATATTTTTTTGCATACAGGTGCAATGTGGCCCCATCATGTTGAGGAAGAGTTGTTCGTTTCCAAAGACGTACAAGCAGTGGGCTGGATTTCTTACGCCTCTGTGGTGAACTTCTTCGCTTTGGTGTTTATTGCTATTATTCTTTGCCTAATAGTCGTGTTTGTTGTCGCATATCGGTTTCAGTACCGTGTATATCGCAAGTCTAAGATGGAATCTGATTCTTTGAGCGACTCTTTCGGTAGCTCGAGCGATTTATTGGAACAGCAGTCATCCAAACGACTGCCTTCGCTGCACACTCTTGCCGAGGTCCTGTCTCTGGCATCGTTGTCGTTTGGTCGCCGCGACACACAGAGCAACTACACACAACTCACAGACAGAAATTGTGTGCCGTTAAGAAATAAAACAGGTTTCACGTCGATGCCTTCGTCCCCTTTTTGTGGTAGAGCTCCGTTCATGAGGGCGAAAAATTCACGGCGATGTGAGACCAATCGACGCTCTGCTTCATGTGAAGAACTAGAGTCCAGGTTTATATTCCCCATAAAGGAAGAGAATGTAATGACAACTTCTATTTCTGAAGTAGAAATTAGTTCATCTTGCAAGGAAGATAGTGGAAATGAAAGTCCAAGCAAAGAATCGGCTAAAAAGTTGGGAAAGAAATCTTTGATCAAGAAACCCCAAACAATTAAAGGAAGCTTTGCTTACGTTACGAAAGTCAAAGATCTCAATGGCAGCCGGTTACGAGAGAAAAATTCTAGTAGCAATTCGCCGAAAATACCGAGCCATCTAAAATTGAATCTTAAAAATACGGGAAATGGAAGAAGGCAATCACCTATTACTGTTGGTAAAATATCTTCCATTGCAACCGCTCATGCGAGTTCGACCTCGGAGTTGTCAATGACTGGAGCAGATCTCGAGTTTGATTATTACGACTACAACATGGATAACGCGTCAGCTGTTCCTGGGTCACTGTTTGGTCTCGACCCCACGCTTATGCCGTGGCTTCCGTCCATTTTGAACATCGATGAGATTGATGAAGAAGATGATATTTATACATCAACACGCCATCCATTTTCAGTTTCTGTGTCGACATTGACTCGAGATGATGAAGTGAAGGAAAGCATTCCATTACAAGATATGGCATCACTTGACGGGAGAGCGAAGACTACAGGTCTTGCTGAGAACTCTGACATGTCAGCTTCTAAAGCGATTAGTCTGTCAAGTTCCGATAATTCCGATGAAATTAAATTTGCTGATGATTCTGGAGAAGAGTGATGGCTTCTGAATACGTGATAATTTTCAGTTGATGTATTATAAGTATATAACTCTTTTAGCAATAAATGTGTAAAATGAACCAAGTTCTTTATGGCAATAAAGGCCATTTGGAAATAAATAATGATGTCCTACCTCACTGCCAAACTAGCTAAATGTGGACTTCAATTCAAGCTTTGGCAAATGCAAGTAACTATTTAGGTTGATGGAACACTGAAAATAAAATTAAATACTCTTTATCGCTTTTTCATTGTGATTTAAGACTGTCAAAAGACGCTGAATTATATTTTTACAGTAATTTTCCACATGCTGACTTTTCTAGTCATTAATGCCTTAAGTGTCCAACATCTTCGTAAAGTATTTTAATACATTCTGCACTTGAAGATTTTATTCAAGTCTGTAAATATTATTGCATAGTTCATACATTTTTCTACCGTTTTTAACACAATATCACACAATATCATATCATAATATCACAATGAAATTGATTATATTAGTCAAAATTTTTGAATTGTGTAAAGTGCAAACAATTAATTTTACATCTGATTTTCGAAATTTTGCACAGCCATCAAGTGTCTTGAGTTCAAAAAACTTGATTATTAATTTTAATACTGAGCGTCAAATAATGTGTTTAGTATAATTTTCAGATTATAAATCGAAGCAATTTGTACTATGTAATTATCATGTGAATTTAAATATATTGACGAGAGAATACTCATTTTGCAATAGCAAAAAAGTGTATAATTTATTATCCTCTACACGACTTAAAAAACGTTTCATTCCTCCGATTTGTTTACGAATCGATAAAGAATATGCAATTAATTAACCGCATCAGTAGAACAGTTGATAAATTTTATTCGATGAACAAATGCCGCTGCGGATGTAGAGAAAACTCGTGTAAGTCGGAGCGATTACCGCGCTCCCGGCAATGTTCAACCGATCCCTGTACTTTTTCAAAGATAATTGGTATAAAGCAAGGCAATTGTGAAGAATTGTAAAGTAAGCAGGCTCAAATAGGCTCACTAAAATAAAGAGATATCTAAGCTAAAATTAACGCTATACTGTTACCATTTCATCGACACGAAATTAAGTCCAACTTAACTGCCAAAATCATTCCCTACGAGCTTCAGATAATAGCAATGATTTTACAGGCTAAAATGGTACAAAAATACTGCAATATTTTTGAATTATAACCGTTTTGAAGGGACTATTTTACAAAGCAAATTTAATCTGCGCTTATTAAAGGCATGGTTAACATTGTACCATGTTTTTCGTGCCACTCATCCAAGCGATGATGTCCAGAATTTATGTATATACTGTATTGGCCGGTGCTCTCAGGCCAAGCCCAGTGTTAGAGGTCTCGGCAGCTCGAAGCCATCGATGTACGTCCAAAGTGTAGAAGACGACAAAAACGGTACCTATAATGGAATGATGGTTCTGAGGCGTGCTGGAGCGACTGAGACCTCATGGTTCAGGAATGAATTGAGGCGAGATGTTGAACTGGCAGTGGATTGATAAAAATACGTTACGAAGTAGAATGAAATCTACTTTTAAAAGGCCGGATTTTCGGAGCACGGTATTTAGGTACGGACGCTTCGTATATAACTACGAGGTAGACGTCCATATTCACGAACGGACCGAGAAGTCACCGATGGGAGCAGGTGCGAGACTGACGATTTTTCGTAAATGAAGACCGTCAGAAGGGCATTTAACCATTCACTGGAATGCGATGAAACCAGTCAACCATTCCGTTATGGGAATGACGGGATTGTTTACGTTTATCAATCTCAGTGACGAACTGAACTGAAGAAAGCTGAACTGAAAGACAGAAATCCTCGTGGGTCAACCTTGTATAGTTCAACCATACTTTTTAGCTAAGTACTATGAAATGATCCGCTTCTCTAAGTGAAAAATTGTTGGGATAATGAACGCAGCAGGAAGTGAGCAAAATGAACGAAATTAGTGCAATGCATAATATTAAAGGATTGAAATAAATGTCATAATGTGAATTCGATCGTAAAAATTATTCAGAACCGCGTGTAATTATTGAGGCTAAAGAAGTCATATTTACATTAATGAAACCTAAATTTATTTCTTTGATAAATTATAATGGCTAGAATGAATTTGGTTAGTAATTTAAAACACTGATCATTAAATCAATAGCATATCGTCGCAACTGCCTACCATTACATTCCGATTTTATTAACGTCCTAACCTCAGTGAAAACATGAAATGAAAGTCAACTCGGAATCAATAAAGTCTACGGAGTCTAAAACGAAGATTTAAATATGTTCAACTCTGGGAACATGAACGAATTTCTCAAGTCGTTCAAAATTGGTGAAAATACACTTGAATTTAATTCAGAATTAAATAGTAAACTACGCTGTTATGTTAATCCAAAATTATTTGTTCATTCAGTGCTCATGGCTGATGCGTCAGACCAGCAAGAGTTGGGGCACCTATTACAGCAGCGCCTGACTAAGATGCGATGTCAGAGTTGCTTGCACTAAAAACGTATGTTATTATGAAAATTTATTGTTTTCACGCGATTAATTGAAGTTATGCGTCATCGAATTTTTTATTGTGCCAACGCTCTAGGTGCTCATTGTACAGTCAGGTAGAATTTTACTATTGTTCTACATGAAGTTCGGTCTCGATATTCCAAATGAAATTTTTCTGTGCTGCAAATAAACCCCTTTTCTGTTCCTTCGATTGTAAAGTAATAACTTAATATTTTTCGTTTTGATAATATATATATATACGATGAAAGAATTATGTAAGAATTCTTATTAGAATACAAGAGTTATTTTGTATTACCCCTTGTAGAAGTGTTCTAAACGAGAACTTTTGATAATTTATAACTACATACATATAACTACTACATAGTATAACTACATTTATACTACAAGTCTACAACTACATATATGCAAACTTTCCAAATGAAAATGTATAACTCCATACATCGTCTCTACCGTGTACGTTTGTTTTAGATGCTTGAGGTAACATACAGGACGAGCGTCTTAGGTCGGCACGTCTCGTACGCAAGCAGTGGCGTTGTTGAAGTCAATAGAATTCAACAGAACATTCAAAGAAGTAACAACAAAGAAGTAACTTACCATTCAACATTCATTTTCTTCTGAAGATGAATAGTTATAGGAAACGGGGACAAATTCGCTAATTCGAATTCAAATTGAATTGAAAATATATTGGGAACACACTGGTGCCGTACTAAAAAATTGTGCACCTTGTCCTTGAGTTGAGCGCACCGAGCAAGCCCACCTTCATCTTATACGGGTCCGCATGACACGCTCGTTTTCTTGTCAAGTTTTCGTTTTCATTGCGTGCAGGCAGCCTCGCTGTTCGTAACTAAGTTACGAACAGCGTAAACAAATTACGAACAGCGTCTCATTTTGTTAATATGCGTAATTACCTGACCGTGAGCCGTGATGCTCAGTCCGCTTGGGACATGCAAGTACATATTTTTCTGTGTTATTCATTACAATTCCGGATATCTTATTAATTACTGGTCATTCAAATGATTCAAGTGATTCGAGCAAACGAGTTATATTATTTCTTATTATTTGCTCTGGATTTCTTTTTTATTGTTCCTGAAGAATTTTTCCCTTTTCGTTGGCATTCAGCATTGTATAGATATTAAGAATGTTATTTATGTTACATAAATATTTGCTCATGTTTTCATAAATAAATCACATAAGATTTGAAGTAGTTTTTCCTTGCCGCGCCGAACGGAGTGCGTATAGTCAATCTATATAAAATTNATACGGGCCACGGTTTTTGTTGAAATAAAATTGACGTTCTTGAAATACGAAGTCTACACAAAAATATGGGTCTATTGAAGATGACGCAAAAAGATTGCTCCATCTATTGTTAGGTTTCTTTTTTTTTGTGATCACTAACCTCCAGACTTGGACTTTTAAAGCAGTCACAGCGTAACTGCCAATGCTGCCTCTTAATCGTTAATATGTACCGAGCTTTAGTGGAATTTTATTTCATTTGGGCCGCTGGGAAGGTGGGTGGTGTTTGATAACTACTGTTAATCGTCGCAAGATTGCTTCTATAAATTTTTGTGCAGTAAAAAAAATTCAATGCACATTTACCGCCGGGAAAGCGCAGATGCTTCATGACTTTTGAACTTCTTTTCTGCATAATCGAATTTCTTGGCACGTTGGTTCAAGTTATAGCCAACTTGACTTAACTTGACTTCACCGCATTCGACTTTCCGACTCGACGGAGGCAGATAGACGTCTGCTACGATATGCAGTCTGACGGTTGTCTTTACAATACGAATCAGACCAGTTAGGTATCCAATATAAAATCACAATTAAAAAAATGTAAACAATAAACGTGTTAAAACCAATGAAAATACCCTTACCTAAAGAAGAAAAACCTTTACCAAATCATACCATTTGCAGCACTATAGTAATGACAATTCGAAATAGATCGATGTGTCACACTTAGCTAACATGACTACAAGACTAGGGCTAGTACACTAACTTACTAAGTACAGTAGGAGTAGCACTAGCACAGGCCACAGTTCGTTGCAGTCTACATAATTATAGCTACTTAGAAATTAGAATTTACAACTGGGGTAAATGTAACCACCACAACACATATTTTTCCCAACATTATTTCCAGAGATGAAATTCTGTACTATAATTTAGATGTTGGAACAGCAAAAACGTGTTTAATATTTTGTTCTTAGAACAGTTCAATATGAATTCAGGTTCAGGAGGTTATAGAGGATTTGTTCGTTACAGTAAGTATCATTTTCAATTCATTTTCCCTCAAGTACCATTCTATATATATTTTAACAACACTTTTTTTTAGTTTACAATGTTACGTTGTTACCCTACCCGGTACTCGGTAGCTAGTACTCTGTAAGTCAAAGTCTGTAGCGTGTAGGTATTCTGTAACTGTAAGTCACTCAGTGAGTGCAAATGTACAGTTTCCTGTCCAATGGCCATTGGCCAATGCCTATAATTTGTATTCTGGAGATAATCTAAAATTCTAAACAGTACTATAATTATATAATAGGCCTACTTTATAATAATACATGAATTAGATTTTTGATGAAGATGATAGTCAATTGAATAGCTCTTTGACTCTTTCAGTTTCTGTAGGTTCTTTAAGTTTTATTTAAATAATTAATGATTTTTAAAATATGATTTATTATAGCCTAACCACTGTAACCAGTTTACAATACCTACGTACCTCTAGGCTCAAGCCTATTTAGTTTTTTATTCAATATGAAATTGTATTATATGTATAATTGTGATTTGTGATAGTACCTACTATACTATACCAGTATACCATATCATCTATGAGACTATGACTATGTGCATATGATTTGAAAATTGTCCATGTTCTTGTTCATGTAATAATCTTTTAACAATTATTAAATATTGCATAATGGCGAATGGCGATAATGCATTAATCAAGACTCAAAAAGAGAAAGAAATTTAACCTGTGTCCTGTTATGACAATAATTATGAGCATTCTGTTCATTGTTGCAAGCAATTATTATATAAAAATGAATATATAAATTATGTATAAGCAACTATTACACTATTATTAGTTATAACTTTATTTAATGAATTCTACAGGTAACATGGATCATCAATTAATATGATTAAAATTTTTAAGCATTAATTTTGAGCCTGCAGGCATGGAAACAATTCTAAAAAATTGGGTGGATTGCACTTTGCAGAAGCCACCTATAAATGAGAAAAAAAGTCTGCTTGTAGTCAATTTCATTTGTTTTAAGTATAGCATTATTTCCTTTATAAAAAGATAAGAAAACTGGTACATTTTTGTCCACAAATTTAGAAAATTTTCCATAACATAAGTATTTACTTGAAGTAAAACATACTGGGGAAATTCTGCCAATTGCCCAATACTCCAGATTTATATGTGGAATATATCTACTTTACAAACAAAAATTTCACTTGTTCAACTTTTTATAGAACCTCTAGAGTCACACTACTGTCGGTGTCAAATGTGTCAATGACACTGTGACACATATGTTGCCACTCTGCAGGGCAGGTATTATGAGCCTATGAGGCATATACTTCACTAGTTATAATCAATATTGCCACACTTCCCTAAAAGCCCTATTATACTGGTCATATAAATTGTTAACTACAATTTGGAATTTTTCAATTACCATATTATGGCTACAAAGCTCTTTTGATTACTCTAGTAAGATGTGGCTCAGTGTTGTTAATAAATTAATTATTTCTAATGAAGGCCAGTGATTTAAGTACAGTGGCATCATTATTGGCATTGATAGAAGATGAATTTTTATTTATCTATTTGCCAAGAAATGTGCATGGTTGAGCTGCAAGATTCCAAAATCATTGAAAAGAAGTCACTTTGGACTTGCAAGCCATCAGTTATATAGAGCTCAGAATTTCTGATTGTGCTTCAAGGAAGGCGTGAAATTTTTTTGAGCTTTGGAGATTTCCACTAGAAGAATTTTGTATCTTCTACCTATTAGTTTTTCTTCTTGTTAGTGTCAACTGCCAACTAAGTAAAAATCTTAGAAAAAGTAGGTACCTATTCTGATTATGTTCAATTTTATAAGTTTATTATTTTTTTCAGTCCAAGGCCGTGGCAGCAGGGGACGAGGAAGAGGGCACAGAAACCGTGATGGAAGACATTTTGACTCAGATACTGGACCTCACTCAGGGGACAGAAGTGATCACTACAGACGTGGGCACCGGGATGAATCTGGACGAGGGAATGCAGGCAGACCAAGGCCTCCACCCCATCTACGGGGCAGAGAGATTGGTGAGAGTTCTCATGCCATTCATTAACAGCTCTCACCTTGAGTTAGTTTGCCTTGTAGGTAGTTGTATTACCTATATCTTATTTATTAGTGAAAATAACATTTTTCAGCAAATCTACATTTATCTTGACCAAATTTTAACATAACTAGTTAAAGGCAAAATCCCTAAAGAGTTTGTTGTAGAAAAATTTGAATCATGCAGCCATTTTCATTCAAGTCATGTATTTTTTTACAAACTGTTGGCCAGATTGGAATGATTTTGAGCAAGAATAAGACTTAAGTTACTATTCCAGGAAGACCTGCAACATTTTATGTGCAACTCAATTAAATTTATTGCTGAAATTTGGTTTATGTTGATGTCAACTATTCACTTTAAATTCTGTGTCAAATCATATACTTGATTTTACTTTTGATTTGTATGTATATTTGATTAAAAATTTGTATCAAATTACATAATTTTGCAGGCATGTGGTACCGAGATAATGCAAGAAATTCTAAAAGTGACAAGCATCTTATGGCAAGCTTATCCATGGATTCAGAACAAGCTCAGTCTCTGGATCGTGTTTTAGATTCTATTGGTGGCTCAAAAGGTTTGTATAATTGGTGGCATGAATTTCTGTAATTTTGAGAGATCATTTTTGTCAGTATAAATTAGTGAGCAGTAATATTTCCGAAGTCTTCTTATACAAATACAGGGTTTGAATTAAATAAGGTAAACCCCTTAGAAAATTGTGCTGCTTTTAAGAATCTTCTCCAATACTTTCTGGAATTTCATGGCATTTTAATTTTGATAATTCAGATGAATTTGTTGTTGACATTGCCACTTTCCTCATCACATAGGACGGAGACAAGATTCACGACCTGGTAGCTCTGATCACGATAGCTTCAGCCACCCTGAACAATGGCTTGCTGATCAGCACTCGCAGAAATGTACAGATGAAAAGATGTTGGTGCAACCAGAGCAACAACAGCCTCAAGCGATCTCAACCTATACTCGTACAATTGATGGGATGAAAGACTCGGCTTTCAAGCGTGCCTACATGGACAATGTTAGCGCTAACCAGGTAATATATACTAATTGCACAACCAAAGATTTGTTATTTGATATTACAGTATTTGCTAATCTTGATAATGGTAATTGTCTTCCAACATTGATTACTGTATATTTCTAAGTTTGGATACAGTTTTTCATAAATGCTGTATTGTTAGGAAAGTAATAAATTAAGAATTGATAAACACAATTTTATGTGCCCGTTTTTCAGTTGGAAGATGAGATTAAATCGGAATTTACTTTGGAAAGCTTGAAACAAAACTCTCAACTCGACAGTGCATATCGGGAAGAGCTGATTGAACTAAGGAAAACTGAGAGGTATGTTACAAGGTTCTCTTCTATGCACTAAAATCTAATAATACATGCTATTTTTGTACCTATATGTGATAATAATTTGAATCCTCATTACAGTCAGTTCTATGGAAAGTTAAGTTGGTGGTTATAATTTCTCACTAATGCATATTCAAAGAAACCTCTGTTGTTGATTTTATCAGAACTTGATATAAAAATATCATTCTCGTGACGATGACAAATTTTGACAAAATCTGAACTGAGAAATCAAGGCATGTTGGAAGTCAGTGCAACCCAGATATGTTTTCTGGAAAAAATACTACCTATTAATTTTGTTTTTCTCATCCCTTGCTGCTCTTTTTGTACATTTTTACATCCAGGCGATGTAAAAACATTTTCAGACTCTTGCCATGTCCGTCTGTCTGTCCGTCTGTCCGTGACTTCACGTTTTCGTCGACGATTAAATGCGCTCTCTGTCACTCACTGCAGTGAGCACTGCAGTTTTCATGGTCAATGCACTTTAGTGCACACCAAGGCAATTCTGTGCAAAGCTTTCGTTTGCGCAAAATTAAACCTTTGTATAATTTCTGCACCTTTCCTAGGTACAAAAAAATGCTGGAGTTTCGTAAGCGTTTGCCATCCTACACAATGCAGGAAGAAATCTTACAGCTCGTGAAGAACAATCAAGTGGTTGTGCTTAGTGGAGAAACTGGTAAGACGCGAGGACGGGTGAGTAACATTTACAGAATTTGTCCAGAAATATAAGATGAAGGACTGATTTTTCTCAAGCGGCTGTAATGACAGCGCGTTCGCCGACTGGGTTGGTAGTTGGTAGAGGTCCCTAAGTATAATACGGTAGCTTGTACACAGGGATAGTGGTGGCAGCCAGTATAACTTTCAATTGCTTACTGTGAGTGATTATCATGCTAATGGCATCATGTAGAGGGTTACTGGGTTCATTCGGGGCTAGTAGCGTGTGCACCCGAAGCAAATTGCATGGTGAACAGTGTCAGTTGATATTTGCAAGTCTTACTGGCTGGGACTACCGTCCCCGTGTACAAGCACCCTAACAAATGATAGATTGGGCATTTGTCTTGGAGCCTACGTAGAGTCGGGAAAGTCTTTTTTGCATAACAGGGGAGCTGTACGAGCAGTAAATGAAGTGTTAATCTTTCTTTTTCAGGCTGTGGCAAGACTACTCAAGTTCCCCAGTTCGTGATGGAGCAGGAAGTGGAGGCTGGCCGTGGGTCGGCCTGCCATGTGGTATGCACGCAGCCGCGCCGCATCTCTGCCATCAGCGTCGCTCAGCGCGTGGCCCAAGAGCGCGGCGAGAGCCTCGGCCACAGCGTCGGATACCAAATTCGTCTTGAGGCGTGAGCACTCCCCAACATTTGCCTTCAAATTTCTTCACAATAGAAATTTTCTTCAGTTGCTGGCATCTTTGGCGGTTAATTCCTAAAGTTGTGAGGTGTCACTGTTAAGAACGTCTTTCATGACTTAATATGTGTGATTCTATAGGCATCTAGCGATACAGAGCTGGAGAAGTTAATTTACATGCACTCCCGTACCAGGTCGTATCTTTGAAGTTAAGCGGATGTCTGAAAAGCAATATTCAATTCTATAAAAAATGTGTTTGCTAATATATCACACTCCATTACGAAGTTTATACATAATTATTTCAACTTCTGGTGGGTTAAACTGAAAATGTATTCGAGCTGTTGCAGGGAATTTGTTTCTAATTTACCTGGTCGTAAATAAGCTCCTTCTCGGAACTTCTTCAGAGTTCCTACTCCATCTTCTCTGAAATATTTGCTTATTAATCGCACGTCTTCTTTTTCAGTGTAAAATGTCGGAGTAGAGGGAGTGTAATGTACTGCACTACGGGCATCGTGCTGCAGATGCTGCAGGGAGATCCTCTCCTCAGTTCGGTGTCACATCTCGTGCTCGACGAGATTCACGAGCGTGACACGCAGTCGGACTTCCTCATCGCCATTACTAAGGATCTATTACCTAAGGTTCAACTTGGAGCCTCAAGCTTTGTGTCTTGACATGTAGCTAAAGGATTTTTCACGGAAGTTTTGACTCGAAACGATGATTAATAATTATGGTTTTCTAGAACTAGTGAAAAGAAAGTACTCCTATGTAGGGCTTCAATCTCAAATGTAGTGAAAGAATATATAACTGATTTTCCTATTTGGCCCCCTCTGTATTGTGCATCTTCAAGATGCACCAAATTAAGAACTTTTCCTGTAGGTTTGCCCTGAGGCCCGAAGTTTTGTGCGTATGAGAATGAATGCTAAGTAGAATAGTCTGCTACGATCATGTACTGATTGCTGTACTATGTGGAAAAGTGTAGCCGAGTTTCTTGTTATACTTTTAAATTGATTTTACAGATAATTTCAATTTATTTAATGTGATGATTAATGCTCGTATTTTTTTGAACAGCGACCAGATTTGAAGTTAATCCTGATGAGCGCCACCCTGAATGCCGAGAAGTTCTCCGAGTACTATGGTGGCTGTCCCATGATCCATATTCCTGGCTTTACTTTCCCGGTCACTGAGTATTACTTGGAAGACATCCTGGATACTATACGGTGAGTTTTCAGAGCTTCACTTTTATTACACAATTACGTCAATTTATTCAAAATTTTGAGTCATTTTATCACTATATCAAGAAGTGTTGATGTTTATAAACGACTTTACTGATGTATATATTGTCATTCTTGTCTTTTACTCATCAATAATGTAGCCGAATATTTTTTACATTCTAATACAATTTTCTGTGTATAATTTTTTTCCCCGTTCTTAAAATGATAATAAATGTCAAGGAAATGTTTATAGGCTGATTTATATAATTTTCTTGGCAATATCATCATATATCTTTGATGATTTCCTGAAGTGAAATGTCAATGTTCGACATTAAAACTCGCAATTTCTTGTTCGTTTCACAGCTTCGAGTTTCCACCTCCAAAAGGCAAGGAGCCTATCTGGGCTCAGCGGCGCAACAAGAGCTCGTCAGGTAGCGAATTGTTTAGAAACACCGTCTTACCGTGGGTCGAGTGAGTGGACACATTAACCAGTTATCAGTGATTTATATTAACATGGTTGTATTAGGCTTTAATTTCAAGATTTTTAGGCTTTATTTTCATGATTTTTGGAGGCTTTATTTTCACGATTTTTAGGCTTGATTTTCATGATTTTTGTAGGCTTTATTTTCATGATTTTTGTAGGCTCTATTTTCATGATTTTTTCTCTATCAAAAGATTGTAACTCATGATACACAGAGCAACCACTATAGTTAATTTAATAAATTTTGTCTTGTTTCACCTTATTATAATTACTGTTATTGTTCATAGATTGTATTGGTTAGAGTAAACCTGTTTGCTTTTCAGTAGCTGTATTGACATTCAAAAAAACATGGAAACTATTGAATCGGTAATTATCATCCTTTTCATATAATCTGATTTATGCAATCTTGAATTTATCTTTCTTGATATGTTATTACATTTTACTCCTAAAATAGTCACTTGAATTATTTATTTTCTTGGTACTCATTTTCTACTCTATTACACTATTGGTACACTCTTGCTCGATTAATTTTTCACTAATTATCTCTGAGTTCAAATTTTGTGAAGTTATGAAGTTACTTAAAATATTTATAGATATTATTATTAATATTTTGTTGGTAAATATTTCATATCGTAGTAATAGTATTACGTAAATATTATTAATTATTATGATATTTCAGAGATAATTTCAATCATCAGCTCTCAGGAAGCGAGTGGAGCGATATCAAGAGGTGCTGCTTATGAACTCCGGAAGCCGCACAGCGAAGAGCTTTGCCCTCAGCTCATAGTGAGTCTACTCCGCCACATCTGCCGCCAGCCTCCTGGTGCCGTGCTGGTGTTTGTGCCAGGCTGGGGCGATATCTCGACACTGAACAAACTCATGGACGAGGACTCGTTCCTTCGCGGCCAGAGGCTTCTGGTCATCCCACTGCACTCGCTCATGCCCACAGCCAACCAGAGGGAGGTTTTCGATCATCCCCCATCAGGTCAGTCTTATAGAAGAGTGAATTTTGCTCGTTTTATTATTGCTAATACTCGTATTGCAAAGACTCGTACAAGACTGACCATCTGGCCAGTCTTATAGAAAAGTGATTTTTGCCCATTTTATTTATTGCAAAGCCTCGTATTTTTGCTTGCTCATATTTAAGCTCTCTATCGATATATTTCTGTGGTATAATCGTCAGGTTTGCGTAATTAAACTATGGAATAAGTTGATGCAATGAATTCAACAATCTCCATTCCTAAGTTCAGACTCATCCTCGTTGAATCTATGTTGGCACTGACAAATGATTATTTTCTCAATTCTCCATTCAATTTTTAGAAATTATTCAAAATTTGCAGGTGTGCGCAAGGTTGTTCTTGCCACGAATATTGCCGAGACGAGCATCACGATTGATGACATTGTTTACGTCATCGACAGCGGCTATATCAAAATGACCAACTTTGATAAAAGCTCGAATTTGTCGACGCTGGCGTCGGAGTGGGTGACCAAAGCCAACGCTCACCAGAGGAGAGGCAGGGCAGGCAGGTTTGTTGATCCACCAACGTTTCAACATTTGTCTGCTGACGCTATTTCTGGTATCCAGACCTCTAGATACGACTATCATTTACCTAGATTGAGGTATCCATAGCTGAAGAATTAAAATTAGATAGAAATAAGGTACGGAATCCCGGCATTCATCGTCGTCCTTGGCATCCTTTATTGTAAATAATTCATTTTTATACTATTGATGCATTTATGCAAAAATTCTGATTTGTTTGACCCTTAAATTACATTTTTCCACGTACCGTATGTCTTTAAAGTTAAGAGATCTCGGCTGAAGAGATTGCCCCCAGACGACCTCACTTGATTAATATCGTTGCAGAGTGCAGGCTGGGGTTTGCTATCATCTTTTCACCCGCATCAGAGAACAAAACCTCGCAGAATATCCCCTTCCGGAGATTCTACGCACTCGGCTGGAAGAAATCGTCTTGAATGTTAAAATTCTCAAACTTGGTAGAGCCTTGCCTTTCCTACAGAAACTAATGCAGTCACCAGACGAAGAGGTGCTCAAAATTTCTATAAAGGTAATTGTTGACAGTTGAGTACATGATACACAGCTACTATCTTATTCGTAGATTGTTTCAATGTCATAATATGATTTTTTTACATCCTAAAGACGACGTACGTATGTGTAAGCTGAGTATATGTTGCCTCTCGTCTATAAAACTGCCCTAACTTATGAATTGATGCATCGCAGACTGTCAATCAGGACTGCATTAATAATTTATTGCCACAAATCACACGTATACCGAAAACAGAAGCGAGTCATGTGGAACATACAATTCGTCGGGCAATGTTACTAAAACTAAATATTCAAAAGTTTCGTAATACTCATTGAATATTGGTGGCAACGCGCTCATCTGCCAGTAGCTCACAATGGCTGAAATCTTAAGAAATATGATCATGACAAATGAATTTGTCATATTTTGTCTAGATCTATTTCTACGTTTTGTAGTTGGAATCTTTCTCCAATAGTTTGCTGGTATACTCCATACAACAATTAATTGCGAATTTAATTGTCAAGTTTACATAGACAGTGCCATAATTTGTCATTTAAAAGTCCGGATCTAAAATTTTTGGTGCCACCAACCATGGAGAGGAAGTGCCGGCAAAAGCCAAGATTATATATATTTTTTGAATTTCATTCCTCTCAGTCATTAATTTGACTTTTTTTCACAGTTATTAGAAGCCATTAATGCTTTAGACGATGATGAGAACCTGACGCCTCTGGGCTTCCATCTAGCGCGGCTGCCGATCGATCCTCTGACGGGCCGCATGCTCCTCATGAGCGCCTTCTTCTCCTGTGTGGACCCCATCCTGACCGTCGCTGCCGTGCTCTCTTTCAAGGAGCCTTTCGTGGTGCCCCTGGTGAGTCTTGCTCTCTTTCAAGGAGCCCTTCGTGGTGCCCCTGGTTAGTCTTGCTCTCTTTCAAGGAGCCCTTGGTGGTGCCCCTGGTGAGTCTTGCTCTCTTTCAAGGAGCCCTTCGTGGTGCCCCTGGTGAGCCTTGTTCTCTTTCAAGAAGCCTTTCGTGGTGCCTCTGGTGAGTCTTGGCCTCTTTCACAGTTTTAGTGTCCTTTCGCTGGGCCATGATGAGCTTTCTTGTTTTCCTATTTCAATGGTCCTTCCATTTTGCTCTTGGTGGGCGAGTCGTTTTTCGATTTTCTGCCTTTGCTGATTCTTGCTATTTAGTTTTCATTTATTGGTATCTCAATTTACCACGTCACAAGGTACAAATAACATTCACAATAGAATGACGATATCCATAAGCAAAGGCTCAAGTCTTAGCCAATAGAGATGACGAAGTTAATTTATGGCGATGGCCATGCTGCTGGTTTATCTGTATTGTGCTTTTTCTACGATTCATGAATAAATATGAAAGTATGTTTCTGAATGCAATTAATGATAATATTTTTCGATTATATGGCTTATACAAGAATAATTATATATTATTCTTGCCACCTGAAGACGTAAAAATTTCAAACTTTGACGATTCCGGTTAGACTTCATAATATTGAGCTATTATTCTTTGTTTGCAAGTGTCATTTAGACTTGAACATTAAAATCTATCTTCTTATTCCCCGTTTCGCTTAGCAAAATTGAAATTTTCGTGTTTTGATGTCGTGGCATTTATGTTCAATATTTTGCTACAGGGTAAGGAGAAGTTGGTTGACCAAGTGAAGGCACGATTTGCAGGCAACACTTATAGCGACCATCTGATGTACGTGAGAGTTTTTGACAGCTGGAGGGAAGCGTGCGACAACCGCGACAACAGCTTCTGCTATAAGAACTTCCTCTCCACGTCTGTGCTACAGCAGATCAAGTATGTGGCGTTCGAAGTTAAGGTTATCTTGTTAAGAGAATCACTTAAATGCATTCACTTAAAAAATTTTCTCAAAAATGGCGTTCATATGCAATGCTAATAAAAAATAACATCAGGCCTCGTAATTTTCACGGCACATTTGGCCTTTTCAGTGAAAAACAAGTTTCATGGAACTATTTATGAATCAATTGGTTCAGACATGTTATTGAAATCAGACATGTTATTATTGGCCAATAAATGTTATCAGACATGTTATTGAAATGGCCAATAAATGTATCGTATAATTTTTTGCATGTGGGTACGGTATATCAGAAATATGGAATTGAAAAAAAATTGCCTTTCCTGGAAATCATTTTCATTTTTAATCGTTGTCCTGTTATGTATTTTCTCATTATCTATTGTTTTCTATTTTCATAATTAAAAAAAAAGTTTATTTTGAAGATCATTAACTTACGTGTTTGTCTTTGCCAGACGCATGCGAGACCAATTCTTCGGGTTACTCAAAGACCACAAATTTGTGGCACCAGAAGTACGGAGCGGCTCCGACATCGAAATTAATCTTAACTCCGGCAACGTTGCCGTAGTGCGCGCCGTTATTGCCTCCGGTCTGTACCCTAACGTGGCGTGCCTCAAGCGCACGGGCAAGTCCTCCTCAAAGCGACCAAAAATAATGAGGACCGCCGACCACAACCGCGTTCTCTTCCATCCTAAATGCGTCAACGATAAAATGCAAGCGTTCGAATCGCCGTGGATGGTCTTCAGGGAGAAACTGAAGATGAGCAGTGTAAGTTATGATAATTTATGAGCTGACATATGAAGTAGATTGCGTTAACTGTTTTGGTTTTCCAATTGTGATGGGTAATTAAAACCTCGTGAACTGTAACTTTTTGTGAACTGATTAAAACCTCGTGAACTGTAATTTTTTGGAGAGCCATGCGGTGATTCCCTCTTTTTGATCGCTCTTAATGTCATACATAACTATAGTTTTAAACCATAGTTTTGTATCAACATCCCTGACGATCGTTACATCCCTATTTTTGCCTATGTGTGTTCAGAAATGTGTGATCGTGTGAAGTTGATTTAGTATTTCGAATGACGACAAAATTTAATTAGAAATTTCATATACTTTGCAGGTATTCCTGTTCGACGCTACGAACGTTCCGAACTACCCGCTGCTTCTGTTCGGCCAGCGCCTTGAGTACGTGGCAGCTGAAGGCGCCATTGACGTCGACGGCTTCGTAAAGATTAGGTGCACCGAACAAGTCGCTAACGTCATCCGCAAACTCAGGAAGGAACTCGACGCCGTACTGGAGTATAAAATAAGTCATCCTGACGTCTCACGTTGGGATCAGCACTCGAAGGAAGGCAAGCTGCTCAACGCTATTGTAGATCTCCTGTCCAAGGAGAAAATCGATCCAAATCAGCAATATCATCCGCGGTATGACGTCGCCGACGACGACGATGATGAAGAAATGCATGAAGAATATCCTAGCTATACATAGCGTAATTTTACTCGTACTTTTTCGATTAATTAAGATCATTTCATTTCCTTTTTGCGTTCACCGGTCATGCTCCATCAATGTTGCTCCAAGCTGTGAATCCCCTCATTTATCAGAGGAATCTCATCATGCTGGCCAAAGTCTATTTTCGAGTCGGCTTTTGTATCATTATTTGTTATAAGTATATTGTGTGTAGTGATTCTAAAACTTGATATTATCGAGTACCACACGGTTCCTGGCGCGTTTCAGCAAATTCTTTCTTATCAATTAACTATCATAACTAGTTTCAAATTATTTTACATGCTGCACCAACAATATATCAATTAGTGCATCGGTCAATTGATAATCACATATCAATTGAGTGTAGTGTATGATATTTAACGGTTAGCCGATGTGATTAGGTGGGTGTCATATGGCTACAGTCGCGAATCTTTTCTAGATGATCTGTTGTTGGATATATTTTAGGCAAGTAAAAAGGAATAAAAATTGTTCATAATCCCGAAAGTGCGTACCACTAAACTGGCCTCAGCGTAACTATGTTTGTGCGCATGACAGAGTTTGGAATTACAGTTCATGGGTAACGAATCTCAGTTATTTCGTGTTATTTTCTCATTTTATTATTGAGGTCTACGCGAGGATCTTGGCTTATGTATGAAACCTCAAATTCTGCCTTCCTTCAAAGGCTAACACTTCTGTAATATTCTACTTCAAGTGAATCATCTTGATCTTCGCCTCTCTATTCTTCTGCTCAAGTTGCTTTTTATGCAGCGTGACTGTAAAGAATTGCCTTCCTTAAAAATTGCGTTGTATGTGTAATTCTTCTAACAGAGCGTTGTTAATTTTGAAAATTACTTGAAAGAATAAATGTAAACTGTTTTTCTGGGATTTCTTCGGCATCCATCCGAGTGCTACGGTGGTCGCAGCTGAAGGCACAATTTGCAAGCAAACTGAGGAATGGCTGTGGTGGAGATTCAGTAGAAATAAATGACATTTTAATTGTTTTCATAGTGAGAGAAAACGTTAGAATTACGAGAAATAGATGGGAAAGTCCTGCACTGACTGCCTGGAGTCATTCTAAGATGCATTTTAGCTAGACTAAGCTTCAAGGATATAAAAATTCGATCGATGCTTTAAGAGTTTAATCGTGGGGTGCGTTTAGAACAACACACCCTATGACCTTAGCTATAACTAGTTTACATAATGTGGTGAATGTCAATGGCACCCAACACCGTGAATCATTATGCTTCACATAGGTGAGAATGTAAAGAATATGTTAACATTTATTTCAATAAATAATGACTCTACCTTAACTTAAATGAGTCTTTACCGTTTTTTGACACAAGAACGCGCAAAAGTACTCGATTTTTATGGTGATGAATTCGTGATGTTCGAATGCGGATGATATCGGGATGGACTGGTACCAAAAACGAATTTAGACAATGGAGTGAAATGACAAATGTTTGAAAAAATGGTTGTTTCAAAGGTCAACAATATTTATCTTTTTCATTTTTTGAGTAGATGCTGGAACATGATTTTACCAGAAACCCAGCCTTTTAGCGAATCGTTCGACGGGAATCAGCATTACAAGAAAATCTATCACTGGTTGCTGACTGTTGCTCTCTTTGGCCTTGATAATGCAAGAAGGGTTTCGAAAATATAAAAAATGATTTAAAGTTAATCATGAACTCCCATTGGATTGTCTATTCCATCGACGTCTGTCTTGCCACGGTGCTGAAATCTCCTACCAAAATTTACTAAAACCAAGAACAGCCTAAACTCTGTTACGTTGTATGGTTCGATGAACTGAAGGTATTGGGCTTTTAGTGAAGGGTCTTGGGGTCCCCATTCTTCTGAAGGTCGGAAGAGATTCTTCAAAGAGGACAAGAAAGTAGGTTCCTTGCTCTTGTAGAGGCCTACGACGAAGCAAACAGGCACCACTGCTATGGCGACCACAGTCAGCAACAGGCCGAACACTGGAACAATGTCGAGGGTTAGTTGACAGATTTAGAAAATGATTATAATGAAACATATTATCATTGTGAAACATATGATCATTGTGAAACATTTGATCATAGTGCGAATCTCAGAGGGTTCATCGAAGGAAATTGACATAAAGAGTTTCAGCACAGAAAAACTATTATGGATTTTTTGAGGTATGGTATGCTTTCCGATGATTGTAAGTTATATTGCTATGTTTGCGACAGAGATGCTTAAATAGAATTATAGATTAGCTATTGAGTGAGTATTGACGTTTATGACACTAATAGATACTAGAATAAGCTACATGAGTAACTCACCAATAGCTCCCGTGCCGAATATGTATTTTCCATGAGTGAGAGGCTTGGCCACGGCCAACGTATATATGAAAATTATGATCAAGGAAATTGGGATGATGCCTGCCCAGCAGATCTTCCAGTATAGGCCAGTCTTGCGCTCGAGCATGAACTCGATGTCCATGCAGAACCTCTTAAGTCCGTACACCCACTGCACTGCCACCACCTCCAGCACCGCCAAGATGAAGATGATAAAGCCCTGAGGATAAATGTGGTACGGTTTTTAATATTTTTAAGAACGGAACTCTATGTACCCTGTATATAGTTATGAATAACACTGTCCACCGTTTATTTATTCATAAATACACCTTCTGCCTATTGACGATAATTCTAGTCGCCATTCCAAAGTTTCTAAACGCTTCCATGAAGAGGTCACCCTTCGTCTATTTAAAGTTACTTTAGTTACCAGGCCTTCAGTAACGGATAGCATTAACGATGATATATTTTTCCTTAGACAAAAGGTTGGAACAACGTATCGGCAATATTGTGATGCATAGATTCTTAATGCGAGAACCTTGTTGGGCAAATTAAAGTAGATCCATCAATAGCGCTCCCTTTTTTTCGGTTGTTCACATACCATAATATTCGTCGATTAGAGTGAAGATGTACTAACCTCAGCAGCTCATTATACTATATTGTTAATAATTTATTTTAAGATTGCCACGAGTAACACACTCACCCCTCCATAGTAGTCGACGAGCGTGAGGATGTACTGTCCCTGAGGCGTCACGTAGAATAGCCCCAAGAAGAAACCGGCAAGGCTGACAACCAAAGTCACGACTGGTTTGTTCCATTTCGGGAACTCGTCGCAAATAATTGTAATGACGCATCCCGTCAAAGCCGATGCACTTCCAACTCCCAGAGTGAAAAGCATTAGGAAGAATAACACAGCAAAGAACTGCGGAGCCCATGTGAAGCGAGCCAGGACATCGGGGTAACTGATGAAGGCTAGGGATGTTCCTCCCTCTTTGATGACTTCCGACACGGGCACACCAAGCTGATGGGCGAGGTGGCCTAAAATCGAGAAAATAGTGAAGCCAGCGAGCAAAGAAGTGAGTGTGTCCGTCACCGAGATGATGGTGGAGTCTCGGTACACATTGTGTCGGAAGCCGTTGTATGAAGCGAACATTGTGATGGATCCGAAGCCCACGCTAAGGCTGAAGAAAGATTGAGAAACCGCTGCATACCAAACCTGTGAAGGAAGATATACCGGTAAGAATTAATAAATACGTTGATATTTCTAACCGAAATGGCTTACTATCAAGGGGGCATTAAATGCTCTTGTGCCGATATCCATAACTTGAAAGCTTTACACCGAGTAGATTTTTATTTGAAGTTCAGAAGTAACTGACAGCCTTAACTATTTCTTTTCAACGCTTTTGAAAAGCGTTGATAACAGTAAAATACTTGAGCGGGAAAAATAGGTGCAAAGGTTTAGATTTGACTAATTAATCAAGATAATTTAGGTCATTCAGTTTTGAACAATAACTTTAGAGTGGCATTGCTTGCATATAATAAATTTTGGTGTACTCATGCACTTCTATACCATCTTATTGATATAGAATGATAGAAAACGCGAAATCTTACGTTGAGTTCAATGAGTTTATGCCACTGAGGCGTAATAAAGAACAGAATGCCATCGTAGGCGCCTGGCAAAGTAGCTCCTCTGATAAGCAGGATCAGCAAGACGACGTAGGGGAAAAGGGCAGTGAAGTAAGCCACCTTCCCGGAGCTTGCCACGCCCTTTACCAGCACCACGAAGAGCACGATCCATGACGCCAACAGGCACAGCGCCAGGCGCCACTCGGGGGCATCAATGCCGTGGTCCAGACCGAACCGAGAAATTTGAAGAACCTCTTTGCTGTAAAGGAAATTTCACGTGAAAATAAGTGACTAGAGAGGTTTAATATTATTGGAGATTTTTGTGATTATAAAAAATTCAATGCTTATTAGTTGTGATGCTTTACCATTGGTTTTAACTCAGCTCAAAAAGTAAAAAGGAAAAGTTGAAAATGAAACATTTTCTGCACTTTACGCAATAACACACCATAAATAATTCATTATCTCACGATAGGCATTTGAGGTTTAAATTTTCAGCCAACCGTTTCCTGTGAACAAATTTCTAAATTATATATTAAATAAATTATATATTAAATTTCCTTACTTGAAGTACTCGTCACTGGATGACTTAAGATGAAAGTTCTCCTTCAACGAGATGTTAGCCATGGTATCGACGCAGTCTTCTGATGCCCAGTCCCCGCATGTGGCCCAGGGCAGCGAGCTCTTGAACGACGCCACGAAGTAGAAGACTGTGAGCGCCATCAGTGACACGTAATATGTGACCACGGACCACGTAGCTATCGCCTGACCGTATCCAATACCTGTTATAGAGTTGTGCGTTAACTTTAGTACGTTTCATTGGTTATTTTTCACGTTTGAGGCAACTATTTTAGCACATTTCTTAGGTCATTTTATTCATAATTGGGTAAATCTTCCAAAATTTGTGATGGGTGTGGGGTTGGGGTGGTGGTATTTTAGGTTGTTATTAAAAACGATCATGAATGAGATAATTATCTCTACTACATCGTAATAGTGAAGAAATGTCCAGAAATTTCACTGTCAATTTTAGTTACTTTGGTGTCTTACTAATCAAGTAGGGTAGAAGACTTATATCTCTATTCAAATGAAAGTTCATGAAAATTTCCAATACATTGAGCATGAATAAAAAAAATGTTATTCTCACCTTTGAATGCAGGCGCAAGTTCCCAGACCTTGACCGACCCTCTGGAGGCGAACTGCCCCAAGCAAAGTTCCATGTAGTACAGGGGCTTGCCTATGAAGATGAGCACAACAATGTAAGGGATGAGGAACGCCCCGCCGCCGTTCTCGTACGCCACGAACGGGAACCGCCAGATGTTCCCCAGCCCAACAGACATGGCCACGCATGATAACAGAAACTCGATGGGGTTGCTCCATTGTTCCCGGGTGTTGTCGCCTTTCTGAAATTCGAAAAGGATTTTAAAACAGAGAATAACTCGCTTACAGGAAATCATGGTTTTTAGATTCCGGCTTCAGTTCAAGAACTACGTAGCATAAGATGGCTGTTATGGAAAAATGTCACCTCAAAAAATATTTCCTTTAATGCCAGCAATTAAATTTTTAGAAGGCATTTAACTCCGTCTAACTAACATAACATCTGGGAAATTAATAAATAAATTTGGAATCTTACGACTACTTTTTACGGCCAAAAATGTTAATAGAATTGAGGTTATTAATATTTTGATAGTATTGAACTTTTTTTTATTTGAAACATGCAAGCCGCAAAAGAACTTACCTCGGGATCTGTTGTTTCGGAGGCCGGTTTGGCGGAACCTTGACTTCTCGTTGAGCCATAATTTGCAGAAGAAACATCCGCCTGCACGCATAAGAAGATAATGCTATTTTTGAACGGTATTTTTCGAAAAAATATATCACAATCTCTTACATGACGTTAAGTGTAATTTCAAGCTCTTGACGGGAGAATTGGAATTTGTTGGAAAGACTTAATAGCGATTTCAGCGTTTATTAGGCCGTAGGCCTGTCGCCGATTCTCAACACGTTGACTACGTATTGGTACATATGCGTACCACAAAATGTATTTCTCCAGGAGGTAGTGGTACATAATTCAGGTTGCCTAAAATCGGCCAAATCCGAGAACAAAAAAGGCCAAAAAGGCCTATAATTCAATGTATACTAGTTTATTTGTAGGTTCCGCTATATAAATTCCATTTATTTTCTTTTTGAAGTATTTAAAATTTAATTAGGAAGTATCCCTATCATAGATTTTAGCCGGCGAACGCAACTGAGAAAAACTAAATCACGGAATTTGTCCGGAAAAAATGACCGTCTGGCAACGCTGCTTAAAAAAAGTACAAAAAATGAAATAACAGCACAAGATGAAGCAATCGTAGTCAACGTGTTAACATCGCAGAACATCCACGGCTTGTTGCGGTCTCGAACTCGCAACTCACTGCTACAATTCTGCTGTGCTTAACCGTCCGGCCTCCTTGCCGATTCTGACCAGAAACTTGCGCAAAGAGCTGAGATCGGACCCGCGCCTCTCTGCGCCAATCTTGGTACTCTGAACTTTAACCACTGGCTATTTTTGCTTAAAGTTGTTATTTACTTGGAAAGGAACTAATATTCTTGCTCCTCGTGAGATTGGCAACAAAATTTACGAATAATTTAGATGATTTCAACTCTAATTAAAAATTATAAAACCTCAAGTCTTTGATTATGCTTTGAAATTTACTATTCAAACTCTAAGTGACATTCTGAGACACCCAGAATCGTATTTGTTTAGTATGAAAGATCCAGGACTGGATCTGTTCCTCTTTGAGAGAATTATTAACGTGCGAACATATGTTCAGTTACTCATGTTGGGTACTTCACCCACCCCAATGTCTGCAGAACACAAAACACTCTTCTCCCGACGAAAGTGAATAATGTAATTCACTTCTGCAAGTTTTCAATTCGTATTTCTGTACCACTTGATGTTGAATGTAACAGACTTCTCGGAAATTGAATAAACTTTTCAAGGATGCGAGCGCTAGATTAATATTTATATTTGTTAAAACTTAAATCAATGCTATTGGATTATGAATTTTTCACTTACCCCTCCTCTCCAGAAGACGAGCTTCTCAACCATGCCCTCCAATGGATTTTTCATGTTTGCGATGGCTGTGAAAATATTTGTCTTACAAGCTAAAATTATTTTTTTAGTTTCACTTTATTTAGAACAGGCTTTATGTAAATATTTTTACCTTTGCGTCTAGTAATCTGTGAAGACAACAGAAAAATATAACTCAGTACTCACTGCAGTGAGTGACAGAGAGCGCATTTTCTCGTCGACGAAAACTTGAGGTCACGGACAGACGGACGGACAGACGTACAGACAGACAGACAGACAGACGGACATGGCGAGCACAATAGTGCAATTTTTCCATGAATGAGAAAATGCGCTAAAAAGGATAGTGAAATTCGATCGCTTTTAGGACAAGGGTACGAAAGCGAAGCTGAACATTTTTTATCTAAAGGATTTTTTTACTGCGCTAAGAGGCAATAAAGATTTTAATTAATCGTTATTGCTCGCTAAACTCAAAGACCAGAATTAGCTTAAATGGATGGACTGATACCGGATATTGCAACTAAATTGAATTGTCCACTCTTGTCCTGCTTACAAAAAACTGTCCACAAACAAATTGAATAAGTTGGAAATTTCACGCAATCGTTCAGATTTATCGCAACTTGAACGCAAATTGAAATGAGTGCATGTTTTTCATTGAAATTTCGACGTTCTTTCCAAATTCAGAAGGGGTTATTAACGATAGATCGTAGAAATATATCTTTTATATTCAGAAGACCTCATATCAATAACGAGACGAGGTTGGTAAACCTCAAAATTAAATTATTGTATATATAGATTTAAAATATCTTCAAGTATTCTCGCGTTTCATTTGCAGTTTCGATTTTTGCTGAAAATTTTTAGATCTATTATTAGTTTAAATGATCACATTTCCTTGAATTCAAGTGCTGCGTCAGAATCTTGATTCCAAATTTAATGCCCTTGCTTTACTTAATTTCGGTGGACTTCAATCACCAACTGTCACACAAATTTGTTTTTGCTCTATTCGTGCTCCAAGAATTGTTCGTAACTGCAATAGTTTACGTTATTTTAATTAATTTTTCTCTAATTTGCTCACGTTTGGAAAAATCACTGGTTGAGATTTTGCCATTATCTTTATATAAACTGCACACTCACAGTTCTTAGCACAGCCAACGATACACCACAACGTCTTCATCGATACTGAGATGTCCGTAGCGTTGACGGGCTTATATGCATATTCTTACCGGATACAGGCATCGTAGCTCTGCGTAATATCTAGTGAAGTCCCTGCTACAGGCCAGCGCTAAATGTTTCCAGTAAGTCTGTCGGAAGTCGAAAGAATCTTCGAGGTCGCGCGACTCGCGCCCACTAGTTCGAGGAACTGCAAAACTGCCTTTTTCAAGTTTTTCTAAATGGAATATAGGGAGGGTTGAGAATACATTTTTTCTACGGATTTTGGATTGTAAGGTAATATTTTTTTCTGTCTATTGGTTTAATTATCTTGATTTTCTTGTGTAACTGAAAAAATTTCGCGGATACCCGAACAAATAATTTCCAACTGGCATTCCTTGACCATTAATTTATTTCGGCCGTTGATATTCCCCAAGACGCCGAGCATTTACTGTGGAGGGAATCTGTACCCTATAATTTCCTCTTTATTGGGAAAGTCCCGTAGCTGGAAGATGACTCACAAGCGAGTTCGAGTTGCGTCGCTGATGGAATTCTTTAGATGAAAAATAAGAACTCGTGTGTTTCCTAGTCCATGCAACAAAAAATAAATTTTAAAACTGTTATAGTTAGGTACATTAATCGGGATTTTTGTAGGCGAAAGGTGGTATTTGAGGAATGAACAACGTCTATTTTAACAGCCAATATCACATATTGCTTCTCATGAGCCTAAAGTGAACCGGATTGAAGTGTTTACTTGCAAAGTTTCACAGTTCAATGAATAATTTCATTTGCATTGGTCCAGTCTCTGACTCCTGCACCTTGTTCGTATTTACATTCTCGTTCCCATGAGCAACAACAGGCTTGGCTTCCCAGGTTTATCCTTAGCAAGAACTAAGACGGAAAGACTTGCACAACGCTTCGTATAACATGAGCAATGAGCATGCCTGTAGGCCATAGTTGTCATCAGTTCTTTTACGATTGCACCCGAAAAAATAATAAGTTGTATAACTAAAATTGTGACACACACAGCATGAAGGAGATATGACGTACAGCATGGAGGAAGAAGTGGTCGTAGCTCTGTTGCGTCCTTTCGCTGGACCAAACTGGATTAGGATGACCCAAATTGAGGAACGTTCAGAAGAAGTCTCAATCATTTAACTGAGTATATAAGCCGTAGAATATCTGCTACTCATATTCTTTGATGACTGCCAACTCGAAGCACCTAGGATATTCTAAAATCTAATTAAAATATTTACATTTCAAACAATCTACCAATGCAGGAAAGATAGTTTGAATTTCCCTCTCATATAACGCGACTATAATCTATACAACTCTATGATACCTCACATCTATCCAGCAAAAATAGACACCATTACCTCATTTTGTGTCCCGTACTTAAACGTATCCGAGAAGTCTCAAAGGAACGTATATTGTTTGACGCTGCCTCGGATCTGTTGCCCGGAAAAACTTGTCCTCGCCATCTAACTCGATGACGTCTCTAAACCTGATCGCAAGAACCACGTCGCTGGCAAAAAAAGTCTTGACGTTACGCAGAGCTGCGAAGCTGTTCTCGGCAGTGACGCACACTTGTTTCGTTTGCAATGCAGGCGTTGTTGTACAGTACGTTCACCACGTTTAGGACGTCGATGTTTCGGATGTTCGGCATGATTCTAACGTTGTTGTTCAGAATGTTCTCAATGTTTAGAACTTTGTTGTGTGACGTTCGCCATGTTTTAAGCGTCTTTGAAAAGAAAGTGTGCCATGTTTTAGAAGTCGATGCCCAGAGGCCATTCTATCAAAGTTCGCTTACACACGCCTAGCGGTTAGTACGCGTTGCTGCCTAAGCGCAATAACGGCCGATTTCTGGCAGCCAATTTGTACTTTTTAGCCAAAAAAGCCGCCAGTTATTGGCTAAGTGAGGTACGAACTTGCCTTTTTTTACAAACTCGTAACAATCTCAGGACGTTCTGGAGAGTCCTGTGATCATGCAGGATTCACGTAGCAATTTCCCCGAGGAAATCCAGATTGAAGTTTATATCAATTCGAGATCTGCAGACTAATCAGAAAAGGGACATTAATTTAGTAAGTGAGGTGAGTGATATTGTTTTCCTTTTAAGTATTCATAATGTGCATAAATGCTATTTTTAGTCATATTCAAAATTAAGTGTATAAAACTGCAACAAAAATTAATAAAATGCGGCAGTGAACAATAAAAAGTGCGAGTAGAATGCCCGTCATTTGCTTTGATTAAAATCTTCTTAGTAATATTTTATTCCCGTCTTCGTCGCATCTTTGTCTTTCATCCACCTTTATAATCCTTTGCAATAACAGTAATTATTTTCATTTATTGAAAGTTGGAATTTTCTTAAAAAAAATTGAGCGTCGCAAATCGCTGTACCTGAAAATATTGCAAGTACATGCATACTACATGCTTATATGTATTATATTGTATATATTGCTATATATATTATATTTATTATATTTTATAGCGATATATACTAGGACAAAAGCTATTATAAGACAAATGCGATATCCCTGAGATCGTATAACAATATTTTCCGCTTTCCTTCCGTTGAATGTGCGTCAGACATGAGTTCTGGTGTAAAGGAAACGGACGTCTGCTAATTTACGATTAATGAACAATAATTCAACTGTCGTGTCCGGTACATCGGACAACTTCTACTTTATGCTAAAGAGAGACAAATGAAAGCATGGATTGTTTAGGTCTAGGCAAAACCATACGGAAATCATTGGCGAAATTAGTGCATACGAATTCTCTACCTACTATTAAAGATATTCTGTAACCTGATTTTCAGTGTCATAGTATAATGAAACAAAATAAGCGGTTGAGTTGCGAGGTCATGGTACTATGAGGTTTGAAAAACTTATTAAGTCCCAATATTGTGAGTTAATAGTGTGGTGAGGCACGAAACACAGGCTTGATGAGCTTAAATATTGTTAGTTCACTGTGTAGTGAACATGGAACACAAACTTAATAAGGTCCAGTAGCTTAATGCGCTGCTTTTAATGAGCTTCAAAATCTTTTAATAAGGTACTAAAGAGATACCTGCGAAAAATGTTATACCTCCTCAAGTGTCCCCTGTTACCACGTACAGGAAACACTTATCAACTCGGTACATCCCACAGTAAGCGCTCAAGATGTGTTTTTTTATCTATAATGGAATTCCCACTAACAAGATGAACGACCTAGCTTATCCCGTAACAATTCTTCGCTGCATGCATCAGAAACACAGACTACATCTTAACCCTTTCCAATTTATTTAATGTTTACTTTTGTTTAAATTTTGTTTTTATTTTGGCGAACATTTTCAGGTTTGCTCATATATTTACACGAGCTAAGTTTATAATCATGGCAGGATTGGAATTCCTTGAAGGATCAATCCCATTAATTTGAAGCCGGTACAAATCATAAGGGCAAGCATGATTTCTATTCAGATATAAATACAATGAAAATTTAATACTCTTTCAATAAGTTTCATGCGGATTTAAGAATTCATAATTTTTTTACAAATCACACTATTCAGATGATGGGCCAAATCACCTACAAGTTCTCAATAACCTAGTTAATACATTTTTCAGCAGCAAAAAGTTCCAAAGAAACGAAATGTTTTAACGTTTTTTAATGACAGTTAACAAACCACTGACTAAATGATCCGATTTCAGAAGTTAAGATATTAAAAATCATGTAGCTAATTAAAAAAATGTATTACGAATTAGGGTTTGAAACAGAAACCGGAAAATGAGGACGACAGAATTTTTGTTAAAATTTATTTAGCGAGCGTAAGGAGACTACAAGCTCGAGTTTCAACAAAAAACGTACACTAATCAACATAAAACAATTGGTCGGTAGCGCTTATTTACTTTTTTATTACATGTGTATTATTTATGTATTTTTATTATTTATGTACGAAATTCCCGCAAGCATCAATTATACATCACGACTCTAACATACGGACAGAAAGGGTGGAATTTTAACCTAAAAGAAAAAAACAGTCTACATTTTTTGGGCATAGTTGCGATTAAAAAAGCCATAATATTTTACATTATAGAACGTTTTAAACACATTTTAATATTTCTTCAATATCACAAATTTCAAGAAAGTAGAGGTCATAGAGCTGCAAAGTGGAAACCATCATTGATTGCAAATTAAAAAAAACAGACTTTTATTCGTAATGCCCGGTCCCGTCAATCAATAAAATCAATTTTCATCAGATTTTCATGATATTGCGATTAACCATTCTTGCTGATACCTCCCGAATTTCTCGATCCTAGACACTAATTCACTAATAGGTATGATTTTTACATGAATATCACAGTTACCCAGTCTGATAGAGGTTATTTACTATGAATTCAACAGCTTTCTTCAATATCGATTGAAAAGTTGTCCGTCATTTATTCTCGGATTCTAATAACTTAACAAACTTAAATCAAATATGATTTTAGTGGGCAATTCCGGTGCATATGGTTACTTTCCTAGGAAGTTTGCAGTATTTACGTAAATTAATTCTTTTCGAAGGATACATATATTGATGTAAACGGCCACACATTAAAAAAATAGTTTATGCATTAAAATGAACATAGTATTTGCAAGAGTAGTATCTTTACCTCACTATATTATGCTTGGTATGGACATAAGATTTCTTTCTTATATTTTACACTCACCCATACTCACTACCTTTCAATTAAAATATGATTTAAAATACATCAATTTTATAATCTGTATCGACATCTTCTCAACATATAACACAAAGACGATCATAAGCTCTTAAAATCTATGTATCTCAATGTCAGAAGCAGGGTTATCAATTCCATCCATGGGCACAGCAGGATTATTTCCCGCTAAGAAATCCTTATAATTCCTGTTCAGTACAGGATCTCTAGGACCCCACTTGTCTGACGGTCTGAACGTATCCTTGACACTCTCTAGGAGCCCCATGCCCTTGCGGTAGCGCTTCACGTACGCGTACAGGAAGAGTGCCGGTACCGTGGAGACAGCGAACAGTGTCAGCGCCACGCCGAACCCTGACACGAAATTACAGATTTATTTATTAATTTATTATACTTAACTTATATTTTTTTCGTTCATATTATTAATTAATTTATCAACCCTGACACGAAATTACAGATTTATTTACTAATGTATTATAATTGGCTTGTATTTTTTCTTCATTTGTATCAAATAATTTATTAGGCTTGATATAAATTTTTTTTCATTCATATTATTTATCAATTTATTATGCTTGATTTATATTTTTTCTTCATTTATATTATTAATTAATTTATTATGCTTGGCTTATATTTATTTTATTCATATTATCAATTAATTTATAAACCCTGACACGAAATTACAGACTTATCTATTCATTCATTATGCTTGACTTATACTTTTTTATTTATATTATCAATTAATTTATCAACCCTGACACAAAATTAGAGATTTATTCATTAATTTATTATGCTTGATTTATATTTTTTCTTTATTTATATATTTTATTAATTTATTATGCTGGATTTATATTTTTTCTTCATGTATATCATTTATTAATTTATTTCACGAGACTATTGTCTAAAAAGCCGGAAATATTTGTTTATTTTATTTTAAAATCCTCGGAAATAATTTGTACTCGTAATACAATAATACATTAATTGAAGTTTCTGCGTGATTTAAAAATCAGCTCTAATTAAGATTAAAAATTACATAAAAATTAAAATTGGGCTCTTCGTGGTAAAAGACAGGAGATGAATATTGGTATGGTCTGATTGATATAAAATAACATGTATAATTAGGTCTCGAAAGTATCAACATCTTTAGGCTAAAATGGCGGCAACTCAGCCCCTGTTTCTACTTCACAGAGTGAGAAAAACCAAAAAACTACTAAAAAAAGGTCCTAATTATATAATATAAAAATATCATAGGAAAATAATTTATGATCGAAACTTCTTGTGCGTGGTGCGTTATCATTATGCTCATATTTTTTTACTTTTCATAATATTAGCGGAGCATTTGTTCTTAAAATTGTTGAAAGGTTTCCACATTTTAGGAAATGATTCTATGAGTCACTTTTAACTAATTTCATCAAATTATGAGGTGCGCTATTGGGAACAAATTCATTGAAATTGTTGCATTCAGTTTGATAGTATCAGTGTCTAATGTAAATTGCGCATTGCTTATAAAATACTAAAGAGTATCGTAGTGATTTTCAAATTCCATTAAACCCAATAGCAAGCCTCCATTGTATCACAAATGAGCTTTATAGTCGTACTAAATGCGCTACTGAGCCTAAGATGAGTTCCATACTTACTGTATTTGCCAATAACAACGGGACCAAAGACGGACCTCAACTATCTAATGCTATAAGCTACGTTGCCCGACCAACAGTGCTCAACGACAGAGCCGGGAGCGAAAGATATACATGTACTACCTCAGCCTAAGCTGCGTTACCGTACTAACTGTACTCACCGATTGCACCGGGACCGAAGACAGGCCTCAACTATTTAATGCTATTAGCCACGTTGCCCGACCAACAGTGCAGAACGAAAGAGCCGGAGCGAAAGATATACATGTACTACCTCAGCCTAAGCTGCATTACCGTACTAACTGTACTCACCGATAGCGCCGGGGCCGAAGACATACTTCCCGTGTGTTAGTGCCTCAGATGTAGCCACGGTGTAGAAAAAGACCACGATAAGCACAACGGGTATTAGAATGGCCCAACAGAACTTCCAGTAGTAGCTTGTCTTCCTGTTCAACATAAACTCGATGTCGAGGCAGAATCTTTTGATACCGTACACCCAGTGAACGGCAATGACCTCTAGAGCAGCTAAGATGAAGATCAAGAAGCCCTGCAATGATTAGTTCAAGTTAATCAACAAATCAATGAAATGTGGAGCTGAATTTTGTTCAAAAACTAAATCATTTGCAAAATTTTTCTCTTACGCTATAAATTTCATGGTATGAAGTTAGATCTTGTACATAGTTACGAAGATACCTCATCAGGCATAAAAAAACTTGTTTAACCTTTCCTAACCGTAATCACAGATCTAAATGAAATGCAGTGTTAGTAATTATTACTAGATAGATCATGGTTTTCAAAAATTTTTTTAAAGCCCAACATAAACAACTGCGTCACGTTTTGTTGTGTCCCAAAACTAAATTATACATTTAGTAGGTTCATACACAGATGCGTTAGGTTAAAAATTTATCTCTTAAAATAATATAGGAAATATGTCTCGAGTAACTCACCCCTCCGTAGTAATCAATGAGAGTGAGCACATACTGCCCCTGCGGCGTGACATACACAAGTCCCATGAGGTAGCCGACGATGCAGACACAAAGTGTCACCAACCATTTCTTCCAACGCGGGAACTCATCACAAATAATAGTGATGACGCAGCCGGTGAGGGCCGTAGCGCTGCCGATGCCCAGAGTGAAGAGCATCAGGAAGAAGAGAGTAGCGAAGAACTGAGGCGCGAAAGTGAAGCGGGAGAGCACGTCAGGGTAGCTGACGAAGGCAAGAGTACTGCCTCCTCCCTTCAGCACGTCTTTCACGTCTACTCCAAGCTCTGAGGAGACATTCAAATGATATAACTCACAATGAATAAATTAAGTTTCACTTACGTTAAAGCTTATCGTGTCGTGAAATATGTGCACTTACAGGATGTAAACTACACGTGACCAGGATGTAAAATTTCAAAATTTAAAATTTTTGTCCATTTTAAATTGACGTACTATTTCCCGATTACAATTTGACCAACTTATGCAGGTATTTCATAAATCCGGATGCATGAATAGGATAATTTATTGGAATTTTAGCCCAAAACTTTCAAAAATAATATGTTAAACTGCAGAAACGGAAAAATATCCAGAATCTATTCAATAAATTACCGTTGGCGAGGTAACCGAGAATTGAAAAGATCGTCAACCCAGCCAAGATGGATGTGAAGGTGTCGGTGTAGGAGATGATTGTGGCATCTCGGTAGACGTTATGCCTGAAGTCGTTGTATGAAGCAAACATGATAATGGAACCGAAGCCGACGCTAAGACTGAAGAAAGACTGCGACAGAGCAGCGTACCAAACCTGTGGGCAACCGACAATAGAAGGAGGTTTCATAATCAGCAATATATTTTAATTTTCTATTGTATCTATAAAAAGTTACAGATTGAAAAGTGGGGCAGAGCTGTAACAAAACCTGCTATATTAAACATCCATAAAATCTATTTCGGCCATAAATAATTGTATTGCTACTGGATTTTTAAGCACCCAAACGATTGGCTGTTCGTCAATTGGATTGGTAATATTGTCACGCACAACGATTGTGTGCGTCAAATTAGCACGGAAAACGATTATGTGCAGTAATATTGGCACGAAAAACGAATGTCTACAGTAGTATTAGCACGAATAACGATTGTGTGCGTCTAATTAGCACGAATAACGATTGTGTGCATCTATTTAGCATGAATAACGATTGTGTACGTCTAATTAGCACGAATAACGATTGTGTGCGTCTAATTAGCACGAATAACGATTGTGTGCGTCATATTAGCACGAATAACGATTGTGTGTAATTAGCACGAATAAAGATTGTGTGCGTCTAATTAGCATGAATAACGATTGTGTGCGTCTAATTAGCATGAATAACGATTGTGTACGTCTAATTAGCACGAATAATGATTGTGTGCGTCATATTAGCACGAAAAACGATTTTGTACGTCATATTAGCAAGAATAACGATTATGTGTGTCATATTAGCACGAATTAACGATTGTATGCAGTAATATTAGCACGAAAAACGATTGTGCGTCATATTAGCACGAAATACGATTGTGTGAAGTGATTTTAGCACGAAAAACGATTGTGCAATCATATTAGCACGGAATACGATAGTGTGCAAAGTCACGTCGCTGCAGCTATTGTGCCCGAAAATCGTTGAATTATCGACACTCAAAACATTCAAGAGGTTAATAATCAGACCTCAAAAACTTTCAAGTTGGATTAAAACCTACATCAATGCACTGTTGTTTACCAAATATTTCAGCGAAACTTTCAAGATCGATCAATAGTACAGAATTAATATCGAGAAATTAAATTGAAACTGACCTTAACTTCGAGTAGCTTCTCCCACTGCGGTTTGAGGAAGTATATGATGCCGTCCACAGCACCAGGAAGAGTAGCACCTCTTCCTAGCAAGATGAAGAGCACGAGGTAAGGGAAGAGCGCCGTGAAGTACGCCACTTTACCGGAACTCGCGACGCCCTTCACCAGCACCAGGAATATCAGGAGCCAAGAGAAGAGCAGGCACAGGCTCAAGCGCCACTCAGGGGCCGACATACCGTTGTCCAGGCCGCTGGGATCTGATCGCAGCACTTCGTTTCTGTGGCCGAGTGGATAAACAACTTATGAGTCACAGAAACTGAATGTATTTTAGAAATCGTTTCTGTGGCCGAGTGAATAAATAATTTTTGGGTCACAGAAATTTTGAGTCACAGATTTGATCGCAGCACTTCGTTTCTGTGGCCGAGTGAGTAAACAATTTTTGATCACAAAAATTGAATGTATTTAAAAAATTTTTATGTATATTTATTTATACACTATAATGGTGATACATTTGTCTGTATTTTAAAAAATTTTTTCTTGTGATGTATATTCATATACTATTCTGGTGTTATTTATTTCCAATTTAGTAACACTGTGAATAGAAAAATGTTATCGGAATAATTGTGGCACGATAATTTTTGATCTAAAAAAAAGTCTACATCAAGATTTTGCCAAAATGTGTTGACAAATTTTTGGGCCATAGAGTCTGAAAAATTCTGCTGCCTCAATCTACGTAGCGTATAATGAAAATCTGGTTAATGCATAGCATTGCATTTCAGAGCGGTTAAATATCAACTCCGGCTCAATGTTTACTGGATAATTGTCATTGATATGAATAATTCAACGACCATCAGCAGAAGCACATAACGGTCAGCCATAGATGCAAAAAAACCTAATTGTGGGATTACAAATAATGATATCTTACATAGAGCAATGACATGAACTTTTCATCTAAATAATTTGAAGGGAAAGAGAAGAGATAGCTTTCAGGAAACGTTAATCAGGATAAATATTTGAAATTCAGTCTCAGCGTTACTATAAAAAAATTGCATGTCAGATATTTACTTTAGCACGTGAAGCGCTGTCATGAAGTATTCCTCCTGATATGGGCCCGTACGCTAAATAGGGCACTAGCACTACGAAGTAGCACTATGCACTACAAGCCGTAGTGCGACATGGAACACTACGGTTGGCATGCTAAATAGGGCACTATTGTGCGTCATATTAGCACGAAATACGATTGTGTGAAGTGATTTTAGCACGAAAAACGATTGTGCAATCATATTAGCACGGAATACGATAGTGTGCAAAGTCACGTCGCTGCAGCTATTGTGCCCGAAAATCGTTGAATTATCGACACTCAAAACATTCAAGAGGTTAATAATCAGACCTCAAAAACTTTCAAGTTGGATTAAAACCTACATCAATGCACTGTTGTTTACCAAATATTTCAGCGAAACTTTCAAGATCGATCAGTAGTATAGAATTAATATCGAGAAGTTAAATTGAAACTGACCTTAACTTCGAGTAGCTTCTCCCACTGCGGTTTGAGGAAGTAAATGATGCCGTCCACAGCGCCAGGAAGAGTAGCACCTCTTCCGAGCAAGATGAAGAGCACGAGGTAAGGGAAGAGCGCCGTGAAGTACGCCACTTTACCGGAACTCGCGACGCCCTTCACCAGCACCAGGAATATCAGGAGCCAAGAGAAGAGCAGGCACAGGCTCAAGCGCCACTCAGGGGCCGACATACCGTTGTCCAGGCCGCTGGGATCTGATCGCAGCACTTCGTTTCTGTGGCAGAGTGGATAAACAACTTATGAGTTGCAGAAATTTTGAGTCACAGATTTGATCGCTGCACTTCGTTTCTGTGGCAGAGTGAGTAAACATTTTTTGAGTCACAGAAATTGAATGTATTTTAGAAATCGTTTCTGTGGCCGAGTGAATAAACAATTTTTGGGTCACAGAAATTTTGAGTCACAGATTTGATCGCAGCACTTCGTTTCTGTGGCCGAGTGGATAAACAACTTTTGAGTCACAGGAATTGAATGTATTTTAGAAATAGTTTCTGTGGCCGAGAGAATAAACAATTTTTGGGTCACAGAAATTGAATTTATATTAGAAATCGTTTCTGTGGCCGAGTGAATAAACAATTTTTGTGTCACAAAAATTGAATGTATTTTAAAAATTGTTTCTTGTGACGTTTATTTATACACTATTCTGGTGATATTTATAGTCTATTTAGTAACACTGTGAATAGAAAAATGTTATCAGAATAATTGTGGCACGGTAAATTTTGATCCGAAAAAAAAACAGTGTACATCAAGATTTTTCCAAAATGTGTTGCCAAATTTTTGGGTCGCCGAGTCTGAAAAAATTCTGCTGCCTCAATTTACGTATCGTATGGTAAAATTATGGTAAACTCATTGCATTTCAGAGACTAAATATCAACTTCTGCTCAATGTTTACTGAATAATTGTCATTGATATGAATAATTCAACGACCATCAGCTGAACATAACGGTCAGCCACAGATGCAAAAAACGTAATTGTTAGATTACAAATAATGATACCTAATATGTAGCACTGGCATGAATTTTTCATCTAAATAAATTAAATCAAGAGAGAAGTGCTAGCTTTCAGGCAACGTTAATCAGGATAAATATTTGGAATTCAGTCCCAGCGTTACTAAAAAAAATAAATGTCAGATATTTACTTTAGCACATAGAACATTGTCATGAAGTATTCCTCCTGATAAGATTTTGAAAGTTATAGGTAAAGCTTTTAAGCAACATTCATCCATTGAACTACAAAGCGTTCAGCCTCAGCGATATGTCTACCGTCAACATTAATTAACTCGTGTAATAGCGGTTTCAGCCTTTAGTAGGCCGTAGGACTGTCGCCGATTCTTAACATCGCAGAACATTCACAGAATTTTGCGGTCTCGAACTCGCAACTCACTGCTACAATTCTGCTGTGCTTAACCGCCCGGCCTCCTCGCCGATTCTGACCAGCAACTGACGCACAGAGCTGGGATCGAACCCGCGCCTCTCTGCGCCAATCTTGATACTCTGAACTGTAACCACTGGGCCACCCTGCCCGTGTAACACTAACATGAAGTATTCCTCTGAAGAAGATTTAGCCAAGGAGACGTTGAATGTGAGAAGGGAATGATTGGAGCTCGAGCGCACACAGTATTTCGTAGACCATCCCTCGCCACACTCTGACCACGGCAGCACGCTAGAGAACGACGCGAAGAAGTAGAAGACCGTTAAGGCCATCAAGGAGACGTAGTAAGTAACTACCGACCATGTGGCTAACGCTTGACCGTATCCAACCCCTGTGGGAATGAAATTTTGTTTAGATCGTAAGTTTCAAAAGGGATTGCAGTTTTTGAAATATAAAGCAGAAATTTAGGGATGGATTGGAATATTTAAATCATCATTTAGGTCGTAAAATAAAGGCCAATTTCACAACGATCAAGTTTCAGAGGGTTAACATAATTACAAATGCATAATTTTGAACTTCGAGTGTTCCACGATACATTCATTCAACAACGTTCAACCAACGAAATTCAACAATTTCAACCACAAACGATATAAAGATCTCGATAAGCAAGAGGATATACAAATCACCAAATTGTTAATTTCAAACGGACCTTTAAATGCAGGTGCGAGTTGCCAGACTTTGACGGCACCAGCGGAGGCGAACTGTCCCAAGCAAAGCTCCATGTAGTACAGGGGCTTGCCTATGAAGATCAGTACGCACAAATACGGGATGAGGAACGCCCCGCCGCCGTTCTCGTACGCCACGAACGGGAACCGCCAAATGTTCCCCAGCCCAACAGACATGGCCACGCAGGATAACAGGAACTCGATGGGGTTGCTCCATTGTTGTCGGCCTGCTGCCTGTGTGTAATTGAAGTTGATGAATAATTAAATAACTCTACGCTAGATAAAAATTGACAGAAATTTAGAAATTTGTTGTCGGCCTGCTGCCTGTGTGGGTAATTGAAGTTGATGAATAATTAAATAACTCTATGTTAGATAAAAACTGACAGAAATTTAGAAATTTGTTGTCGGCCTGCTGCCTGTGTGTAATTGAAGTTGATGAATAATTAAATAACTCTATGCTAGATAAAATTGACAGAAATTATTGAAATTGACAGAAATTTCATATTAGTGATTTTTATTGCCCGGTTCTTGGAAACGTATAATTAATGAAGGAGCACAAAATGCATGCGACGGTTAAAATTTGAATATCTACAGAACAAGTATTCGCGTAAAAACTATATTCAAGAGTTGTTTCTCACCTTGCAATTTTCTTGGCTAATAAATAATTTCATCATTTTGCAAAAAAAATTAATAGTAGTTCCATTAGCAAATTACGGCTATTAGAGATTTGCATTAGCGTGAAATCTGACGATGTGAAGTCGTGTAAGCATCTCACTATGACAAATATTTATGGAGCAATGTTGAACTGACGTATAAATTATTGAAAACTTGTAATAAAAATCAACTATTCGAATGAATCAATGTCCGTAAATCTGATGAATTGACATATAACGTAACTATATTAGTGAAGAAGAATTAAAATTTTCTACATATCACTCATTTAAATTTATTTTAGAGGATTTCGTATCGTTCCTTTTTCTATATCATTGCATTGTCGGTTCCAATTCAATAGTGAGATATGCGCGTTGATTAAAGAGGACCGTTTTCGCCCATATTAGTGGCGAATTAGGGGTAATTTCGCCCATTTATTATAATAGTGTGGCGGGGAACCACTAATACGTACTGGCCACAATAGACAGTCTACTGTGCATTGCGCACGCAATTTATTGTGACAGAAAAAGAATATGAATTAAATACTTTAACGAAAAAGCATCGGCGAACACAGGTTATTCGTGGTTTACACGAACTATCTTCAGTAGAGATCAATGAATCTGTCAAATTATATTGTAAACTGTAAACTTAACAGATCATCACAACTGCTACGGACAACTATTGCAGGATATCGCCTCAAAATGACGCACATATTGCGTCTCTATGACGTCACTTGTTGAAGATCCTATCAGGGATATCCGTCTCAAAGTTTATCCTTTTGGTGAAAGATTGTTAACTGGCCCACGAACGAGATTAAAGAAAATTTTCCATTTTATCTCAGGTAGATGAATAACAAACAATGAATCATTTGGGTGGGAGGGTTCAGCCAGGAAATGGTAATGAGGTTGTCGGTCGAGGTTGCACGAGGTTCCAGATCCAATGGTGATCAGAAAATCTTATTTCCCTAAAATATCGCGCAGCACCGACGACATCAGAAAATCACTCTGCCATTTCACCGACAAGTCATCACGATGACGCTAAGGTTTCTTTGATCAGCGATGGCAAGAATAAAGCTTGCGGCGAAAGTATCACAGTCAATGCTGGGGGACTATTTCTGTTGCAACTCTAGCACAGTCTTGCAGGTTAGTACTTATAAAAGAAATAGTTTTAACACATGTACCTCAAATACTGGTTATTTACAATTGCGTTGTACTGTGTAGTCCACTCCAACCAAAGTCTAAAACATGAATGACATATTCAAGAAGTACACAAAACCTAAATTGCGGAAGTCTTTAAAACGAAATGCAAAATTTTTCATAACTGAAACATGATTCAAATTGGTACTATTCCCTAACATCACAATGGGCTGGGATTAGGCGGATACAATTAAATATTTTGGCTACTTGTTACGTTCACCAGGCTTAATACGATCGTAATCGTTAAGAAGAAATGACGATAACTCAGCATGTAAAACTCTTACTCTCTCTTCTTACTCTTGTAAACTCTTACGTCTGATGCTCTCCTCATTCTCCTATCTCGCTGGTCTCTCTCTCCTTATTTACCCTATAAATGCCGCAAACTTTTTCGTAATATAGGTGCGGAACTCTATAAAAATTTGTTAATTATGATGCGAAAATTTTCCGCGACTGAATGAATAAACAATCCTAAAAATTATAAATTTAACATTTCCATAAATAAGTAATCTTAATTATTATGCGGGTTCACATCATAATACCATTATTATAGCATAAATATGCGTACATATAGCATGAATATGAATACTATGAAAATATGTACTCGAAATTACCTCTGGTAGAGCGTCAGGTTGAGGCAGCTGCGCTGCGGTGCCGTTCTTAGCTTTTCCATTACTAGCTCCTTCGCCCGCCTCCACGACGTATGCGACGTTTGTCACGCCCTGAGATAAGAAATAAATTTAGTAATTAAGAAAACTATTCTAAACATTATTATTTTTCGAAACCATAAAGAAGTTGACTTAGGAAACTATACTGACATTATTAATTTTTTGTCAAAATCATGAAGTTGCTGACTTACAAAAGTATTTACACTATTAATAATTACTTTTCGGTAAATAAATTATGTAGCTGACTCAATTAATTTGATTTGATTTATCAATTTTTGTCTACGAACTTGACGTGAAGTGAGAAAAGGAAAATTTAATTGCAATTACATTTTGAAAAGGTGAAGTTTCTGAATTTCTTGATTAAAAAAAATTTCAATATTACTAAATAACAAATTTTGACGAATTAAGTTTAAAGCAGGATAAATGCTAATTTTTAGTTAAACGATCATTTCGATTACTTCTCACTCTTTGTTACAAATCTGCAGTTCACAATTCACTCATTATCTTTTAAACTAGCATATAACTAGAATATAACAAGTATGCAACCAGCATTTGAACTAGAATAACTAGCATATAAATAACATAAAAAAATGTAGACCGAGAAGCGAGAAATTTATATCGTGAGCCGAGAATTATTTAATATGAAGTCACAAGCTGCAGAAGCCAGACTAGAAAAACATGTGAGTATTAGTAACTGCCGCTCATCGCAACGACTAAACCCATGGTTTACTCGTAAACCCATGGCTTGATTCGCCTGCGTAGAAATGCCGGAACTCCATTGAACGGGGACAGTAATTTTATGGCCACGTGCCGTGACATGGACAATGCGGTGCCGTGATGCAGTGATTAGGCCACTTAGCCTGACCATAGCTGATGCTAAAATGCTACATATATTATATTATTAAATCCTTTTTAAATTATGAAGACTTGGTTTAAGTAAATATTAATAGGGACGTCCAACTTAGCGATCTATAACTCACTCAACGGTTGGAAGTAGCGGTCTGAAACGCACGCACTTAGTGAGAGGGACGTTAGACGTAGCGATTTGAAACGCACTCAACGATCACAACGATCACAGCGGTCTGAAACGTTCTCAACAAGAAGGACGTTAGAAGTAGCGGTCTGTAACGCACTCAACGAAAGGGACGTTAGAAGTAGCGGTCTGTAACGCACTCAACGAAAGGGACGTTAGAAGTAGCGGTCTGAAACACACTCAACGAAAGGGACGTTAGAAGTATCGGTCTGAAACGCACTCAACGAAAGGGACGTTAGAAGTAGCGGTCTATAACGCACTCAACGAAAGGGATGTTAGACGTAGCGGTCTATAACGCACTCAACGAAAGGGACGTTAGAAGTAGCGGTCTGTAACGCACTCAACGAAAGGGACGTTAGAAGTAGCGGTCTGTAACGCACTCAACGAAAGGGACGTATCGGTCTATAACGCACTCAACGAAAGGTATGTTAGAAGTAGCGGTCTATAACGCACTCAACGAAAGGTATGTTAGAAGTAGCGGTCTGTAACGCTCTCAACGAAATGGACGTTAGACGTAGGGTCTGAGAAGCACTCAAAATGAAACATTAACAGGAGCCAATGATAAGTTAATTCCTATGTCCCGGCAACTTTCTTATGTTAACCGAATATGAAACCTTGTAACTTAGTATGAAAAATTTTGCTGAAATTTAGGTCTACATTGCAACAATTAGTGATGACAAGACACTCCTTATTTGGGCGGAAAAATAACATGTGAATTTTTCTGTTGATGGCCAATAATTTCTCATGTATGAATAAGTTTAGTCAAAAGCTGAAACGCGACCGATTAAAAAAAAAATCAGGTGAATGTTTACAAAAACAAAAACTTTTTTATTTCCATGAAGTTTATAATATGATACGTAATGAAATAAAATTTAAATGAAATTGTTTTGTTTGATGATCGAGTTATCCAAGCCGTCGTGCGAGTAAGAAATTTATTGATGGGAAATTGGTGAAAAATATTTGCTCGGCATGCAACGGCTGAAGATAAATTAAATTTTCCGATACGTGGAGATTTTCATTTATATAAAACTTAATATGAACCTCAATGAAATTAAAACCCCGAAGTCTCGGAAAATTTTAAATTTCTCTTTAGCCATTGCATGCCGAGCAAAAATTAATATAAATAAGTATGTTTCCTCTTAACGAATAGCTTTGATTTAAATTGTTGAGCACAATTTTGTTTTAAGCTAATGAGAAATGACGGTTTTCATATTTCGTTGATTAATTATAAGTTTTACATGCCGTAAATACTCGTATGTGGGAGTTTCTTTCCATACATGTAAATTTACGTGTGTTCCCTTGACATGTAAGTTGGTTCCAAGTTTGCCCGAATGGATTTACTTTTGTACAAACTTAATTTGTTACAAGATGTTTTAGATTTTTTTTTGTATTCTTTTCACGTGTGGGTGATTTATTCCGAATTACATATCTCTGACAAACGTACTTTGCAAATAACTAATATTTTTCTCACAAAAAATGTCTTAATTTCAGGCCATAACTTTCATGTTATATTATTTTACACACAATGTACGCTGTGTGTAGCTAGCCTTGTTCACGTCTGATCCTCGAAATAACTTATTATTCCATACTGATGTAGTGAGTCAATCGCGGTCTTGCGCATGGTTCATAATGTAGGTACTGTATAGCTTTTGTATTTTATTTTTTCTTGATTTTATAATTAATAAAGTTTAATTTTGAACGACTGAGTATATCTATCCATAAGTTTGAAGTGTATTCATGTGCAAGATTTGTTATTATTTGGAGATATTCACGTATAATCCTGAGTGATATTTTATACCAGACATGAATGATTATTTCCTCTTTAATTACAGTCGTATGCATTACCGTGATTGTTTTAATTTTCATCGATCTAAAAGTTTAATCCGTATAAAACGACTTAAAATTCTTTCCTTAACTTTCATTTTCCTGGAAAATTACTGACCTCAATAATTACATAGAAAAATTTGTTGAATGCAATAATTCAGATAAATGCCAAAAAAGGGAGAGTTCAGTGTTTTTCTTATTATTTGTTGTTCCAAATTATCACAATATTATTGCATTAGGGAAATTTTACGTCATTTCGCTAAAATTTCCGTAATTTAATTTTCATTTTTATTTATCTCTAATTACACTCATTCTGATGCAAAAAATAGTAAATTTTTGTCATTTCTCATGGTACTGCTGAAATAATAAGTACAAAAAATTAATAAATTTTTATAGCTGATTTAAAAAATTAATGGCATTTTATATTAAAAATACGTAATGCGTGGGAAAACTCACAGGACGCTCGCAGTTGCGATAGCTATCGGTCACGTATATGAAGGTGACCGAACTACAGGATTTAAAAACGCAATTTCTGCGGCATTTCCTGCCTTTTAGTTCGTGTTTAAAGATACTTCAGATAAAATCAGGTGCGGTATCTAGTTAATTGAGGGGCGTCTACTTAATAAGAGGCTATTTAACCTTGCATTGATAAATGCCTTCTATTTGCACTGAAATTTGTTGAATTTATTCAAGTGGAAGTGAACACCAGAATGTCCGAATTACACAAATTGTGCTTTAATAAGATGGTCAATTCTTTTAATCAATTTTTGCCTTTACTTAATGCACGATCGACGTCTCTAGATACAGCGAAAATTTCATTATAATTCTAATTTCGTTTCAAGTAATTTCTGCAGTCCTTAATAGATAAAGAAACAATATTGATGCAGCTCCCAATTTAGAAATCTGAGTAGACTACGAATTTGTCCATAAATTGTAGTGAAATTGTGCAGAAACCTTATTTTTGTTTTACTTTATTATTTTAAATCTGAACCAAATCGTGAGACCGAAAAAAATAAACAATCGAACAAAACTAAAAAAACTAATTTGTCAGGAAGCGATAGTTTCTGGTTGATTTCTGGCAATTTATTGAAAATCAATAGTCCGAACGCAAACAGAATTGATCGACAAGTAGTTGTATTTTTTTGAAGACCATTGCAACAATTTTTAAACGTGCTCGCTTTAACCCTATAAGGTCACGGTTGTAAACGTGCTCGCTTCAACCCTATAAGGTCACGGTTGTAAACGTGCTCGCTTCAACCCTATAAGGTCACGGTTGTAAACGTGCTCGCTTCAACCCTATAAGGTCACGGTTGTAAACGTGCTCGCTTTAACCCTATAAGGTCACGGTTGTAAACGTGCTCGCTTCAACCCAGTAAGGTCACGGTTATAACCGCGGTTGTGTAAACAGACAATCGTTCATTTCACAACCAACAATGGCACTTCCAACTACCGTATGCGACACCACCTGTCATGTCAGGCCCCAATTAGAGGTCGTCATTGTAATTAGAGTTTTATTGCTGAGTCGATCCAGCAAGTCGATTTTCGGCCTTAACTCACCCAGTAATGCTGATTAAATTACATCAACTCAATCAACAAAATTTACATAGCTTGATTTCTTCATTTTTCGGGAAATATTTCATCACATTCGTATAGTTATTTCTATAATTTTAAACTAAAGAAGATAATTCATTCAGTTTCATCGTTTCGAACTTCAACTTGTCGTATCGTCCAAGCCCACAATTTTCAAGGCCATTTCCCAGCACATATTGCACGCATTCATCTGTTCACCAACAAGCTATACTCTTGAAAGTGTGAAGGTTGACTATAATTAAAGGCCCCAAAGGTTATGATTCTCACTCACGATTCTCAAGGCAATTTTTCAACACATATTCCTCGCTTTCATCGATTCACCACCACGTTATATAAGGTTCAAGGTTAACTTAATGAAAGGTCCTAAAGGTTATGTATTCTCACTCACGATTCTCAAGGCAATTTTTCAATACATACTCCTAGCTTTCATCGATTCACCACCACGTTATATAAAGTTCAAGGTTAACTATAATGAAAGGTCCAAAAGATTAGAACGAACGTTACGTCACTGCTTCATCATTACCTCATACATCCGCGGCCATCAGCTTTGTCGTATCGTCCAAGCCCACAATTTTCAAGGCCATTTCCCAGCACATATTACACGCAT